GTGTCGGGGGGAGTTGTCTACTGCGGATAACAAATCACCCAGCACCTGGCACTTCAAACAGCTTGAGCCCCCAGCTCCTTCTTGGGACCCTCCTCTCACCTGTGCTCCTTCTCCCCTGTCCTGCAGCCCCCTGCAGAGTCCACTTCGAGTGCTGGACCTGGCCAACTGTGCTCTGAACCACGCAGACATGGCCTTCTTGGCAGACTGTGCCCACGCTGCCCACCTGGAGGTGCTGGACCTCAGTGGACACAACCTGGTCAGCCTGTACCCCTCGACCTTTTTCAGGCTGCTCGGCCAGGCTGCCCGGACGCTGAGGATCCTGGTGCTGGAGGAGTGTGGCATCATAGACAGCCACGTGGGCATGCTGATCCTAGGCTTGGGTCCCTGCCACCGGCTGCGCCAGCTCAAGCTCCTCGGGAACCCGCTGTCGGCCCGCGCCCTCCGGCGACTCTTCACCGCCCTCAGCGAGCTCCCCGAGCTGCGCTGCATCGAGTTCCCGGTGCCCAAGGACTGCTACCCCGAGGGCTCCGCCTACCCCCAGGATGAGCTGGCCATGTCCAAGTTCGACCAGCAGAAATACGACGAGATCGCGGAGGAGCTGCGCGCCGTGCTGCTGCGGGCCGACAGAGAGGACATCCAGGTCTCCACGCCCCTCTTTGGAAGTTTTGACCCAGATATTCATGAAACAAGCAACGAGCTTGGTGCTTTCTTGCTGCAAGCTTTCAAAACTGCTCTAGAAAACTTCTCCAGAGCACTCAAACAAGTGGAGTAATTCCCCAACTCACACCAGCCACAGGGCTTGAGTTTCATCCTGCAGGGGCCCTGGGCTTCAGTCCTGGATCCCAGGCTTGGGCCTGGCATCCATCCCCACCACCATCACCAAAGCAGTTCTTAGTGAAAATCATAGGCGAGCCTGCTAAGCGCTATAGGAGAGGAAGCCTTGCCTTCCAGGAGAAAGGACATGCGGGGCCCCTGAGTGGCAGCAGGTAGGGTCCTGGAGGCCAGGGAGGCCACCAAGAGAAGATTGCTGAGGGTCAGGGGCAGCAGACGCCACATGGCAAAGGGCAGAGAAGCCCAGGAGGTGTGGGGAGTGGCCGACCTGGCCTCGATGTGTGGGCACTGGGTGCAGGATGAAGCTTCGGGGGCAGATGCGATGGCTGCACATTGGGGAGGGAGGAGCAGAGAGAATGCATGACATGAACTGCATAAAACAAGCAGCCCATGAAAGACAACTGAGAAAAGAGGCGAAAACTGAGCAGCAAAGCAGACGCTGCTGGGCACGCCCCGCCATCCGCAGATGAGGTCGGCCTGCAGGGATACTGGGCTTCTGGTTGCTGTTAGCGGCTTTTCTTCTTGCTTTGTGTGGCCCCCAGAACCGTGAGGAGCATGGAGTGTGTGAGCCCAGGCGTCTGCTGAGGAGCTGCCTGGACCTGGGCATTCAGGGCTGATGGGAGCTATTCTAGGTGTTTAAGGCCTAGCACGTGGCCAGGCCCTGGAGAGGCTGACAACCACCTAAGACACATTTGGACTTGGTGTCCACCAAGAATGACTTTGTGCAAAGAAATAGCTGAGTACTAGAATGACTACATGCAAATAAAACAGAAGTGTGTTTTACAATGCTTCTATCAGTGCAGCTCAGAGCGGTGAGTGCTTGGTGTGGCTAAGTCCCCCTCGGACCCCAGACCAGAGATCTTGAGTTACTGTGTGCCCACTGCTCTGCTCAAAGGTCACACCCCATGCCAGCTCATGCCATGGGTGTGTCCCCACCCTGAGCCCACATGCCACCACCTCCCCAGGTTTATCCCCACCCTAGGGGCTCCTGTGTCACCGCCTCCCCAGGTGTGTCCCCACCCTAGGGGCTCCTGTGTCACCGCCTCCCCAGGTGTGTCCCCACCCCAGGGGCTCCTGTGTCACCACCTCCCCAGGTGTCCCCACCTCAGCTGCCCCCATGTCACCCCCTCCCCAGGTGTCCCTAGGTCACCCCACTCCAGGTGTCCCTACCCCAGCTGCCCCCATGTCACCCCCACCCAGCTGTGTTTCCATCCCCTTTGTCCTCTGTCCAGGCCCTTCTCTGCACAGGGCGGGGGTCTGCCTAGGGCTTGGGTCCCCAGCATGAGTGCCGTACAACCTGCCTCCCAGGGGCGTCTCAGGAATGGATGGGCCCCTGCCCAGTGGACAGATATAGTGACTTCCACCTCCCCACATTCGTCTCTGCCTGCTCTGAAACCAGCTAAGTGCTCTCTGCTCGTGGCAGGCCGTGCCTTACTGGAGCCTGGTCCAGGGACGGGAGCTTGATGGAGCAGCCGGCTCTTGGAAAGGGGTGGGGATGGGGTTGGGACAATATTTTTAATGACCTACTTCTAACTCTAAAGCACAGACTGGCTGCCACTGCGTTGTGTCTGAATCTTTATGGTAAGACTCAGCCTCTGGATGGCATTGTGACCAACCCTAAGGCCTGTGGCAGTGGAGCAGGGCCCAGGTGCTGGGTGTCCTGAGGTCTGGGATTGGGTGGGGCACACAGGGGCCTGCTGGTGTCAGTGGGCAGCGCTAAGTGCACAAGCTCCCAACATCTCCAGCTCCACAAATAGCCGGGGCTTCCCAAGGAACAGCCCATTCTGATAAGGCCAGTGGAGACTGGGGAGCAGTGTGGGTGGGCTCAACGCCTCCCTCACCCATCCCGTGCAGGGCTCCCGCTGAGCCCATCGGCCCCGTCCTCGTGGCTGTCAGCATTTGCAGGGTCTCTGTCCTTGCCCAATCTTGTCTCCAGTCCTGGGTTGCACAGCGCCTGCAGCCACGCATCCGGGGTCTGCCAGGCCCAGGAACATGTCTGCTGGGTTTTCAGGGAGAGCACTTCTCTACCACAGAAAACACGGCCTCCCACACAAGGCAAGCTGGTGGGAATCAAGCAACGCCATCAAGCAGATGAGCATGCTGATCCAACCCAGCGCACATCCATGGCAGCTGTGGCTGGGCTGCTCCTAGTGGAGCCTAAGGGTTCACCTGCCCAGGCCCACCCAGGTCTTCCAGGGCCAGAGGGTAAAGTAAGCAGGGTCCCCATGGGGGCTGCCATCTGGAGCCACCGTCTGCCTCCCTTGGGTCTTCCACAGTGGCATGGGTGAGTGCAGTTCCTTCAAACACAGCACTGCTTCCTGTCCACCATCCTGGCAAGGAGCGGGGGACATTTTAGGGGCTCTGTCCTTCCTGCCTCGATGACTTGTTCCCCAGGTCAGGAAATGCTGATATTCTCAGAGGCCAAGGAGAGACTGGTGAACATGGCCAAGGGCCCTGAACATCAGAGCTGCACTCATCCACCAGCGCTCTCCTGCTCTCCCTCTTCTGAGTTTAGCAAGGCTCCATCAGCTGCCATCTGCTACATCCAGGAGTCCCGCTATCCATCAGCCCCACACAGCCCCATGGGTGGGGACACCATGCTTGACCCCCCCATCTCCATGCCTGTCACCCCACCCACCCATCTCTGCCAGTCCAGAGCCCCTCAGCCCAGATCCCGTACTCTGGCACCCAGCCCTGGCCCGTGAGGAGCAGCTGCCTCGGAGCTGCGGCGCGGGGCCCCAGCAGCCCCACCTCCCAGGAGGCCCCAGCACCTCCTCCCTGTCAGCCACCAAGCAGCTTGGAGAAGCTCTCCCAGCAGGGATTGCTCAGTCCCGGTGTCCTTGCTAAACACTGAGCAGAGCCATTTGAATGCCCCGACGTGCCACTTTGTGCCCAGTGCCTGTCTACATGACTCCTCCCTCCTCCTCACCTGACTCCCAGCACCCAGGCCAGGCCCTGCACCTGCTCCTGGGGCAGGACTTGACTCCTCCACCTGGACAAGCAGGTCATCAGAGGCGGGGCACTGCCTGAGGTCTCTGCCCAATTCCCAGGTGAGGGAGGTCTGCTTTCTCCATGGGGTGGGGGTTGCCGTGCTGGCACGAACGGCTCCCGTGAATCTGGAGCTCACCCAGTGAACATCCAGGCGGCGGCAGCAGCTCCCAAGGCGCACTTGGCCTGTGAGCTCAGCGCCGCAGCACTGCTACCCAACGGCGAGACCCTCAGCCTGTCAGGGGTCCACAGCAGATGAGAGCCCTGCGAAGCTGCTGCAGAAGCCCTCCCGCTCCCACCACGCGCCTGGAGCTGGTGGTTGGCTTACTGAAGCCCTTTGTTTTCTCAAGATTTCCCATGAAGCTGGCAAAAGGCACATGCTCGGCAACCCCTGGTCTTCACTGTTCCCACTCCTTCAGAGCGCCCAGCATGGTGGAGCCCAGTGCTTCCCTAACTTGGCTGCCCACTGGAGAAGGACAGGCAGGGTGCAGGCTCAGGAGCTGTGGGAACCATGTCCCACCATGTGCCCAGAGGAGCTGGACCGGGGCCTGGTGAGGCTATGCAGAGAGATGTCACAGTGACAAGTACTCCGAGGCCCGAGAGTCCCGTTTGCAGCTGTCGGTTCTTCTCTGACGTCAGACGTGTGGTCTCCATTCTTGCCCTCAAGTTTCATGAGACAGCCTTAAATCCCTCTTTAACTCTCCAGGCTAGCATGAGCCCACCTCTGTCACGTGCAACCAGAATCTTAAATTAACAGAGAAATACAGCAACTGTTTTGTCAAACCCAGCATAAAGAGAAGAGCCCTTTCAGCCTCAACGTATAAAACCCTGCGCAGTTACACACACAAGTCAAGACAGGTGGAACAAGCCCAACGCTGTCTACACAGCAGGCTGCACCCGTCACAGCCAGCCAGCGTCTAGGGCAGCTGCCTCCCCAAACACACTGGCTCCTCCCAACACCGCATGGGCCGTCCTCCTGCCGGTGGGACAAGGCACCTCCAGGAGGAAGCAACTGTAGCTGCTGGCTGCACACACTGCAGTTCGGCCTCTGCAGTGTCAGTTTTGCTTTTATGTAGCAAATCTATTAAGTGAAAGTAACTTGAAAGCGTTTTCTCTCTTGTCCTGAAAGAGATGATCTTAGTACACTATGAAGCAATCACTTTTTAAACAATCCAACGGGGAACTCGTCAGTTACACATTTTAATTAGACATAACTTCACTTTTAACAAACACACAAATTATCTGGTGATGTTTTTTTCATCAAAACACCCATCATTGCTGCAAGGTTTGCCAGTTTTGCCCTTAAGAAATCAACATGTATCTGCCAGTTCACACGTACATACGTATCTGCACACGTGTGAAATATATGGGAATTATGGATCCTTATCGATGAATGTTAACAGAGAAGGAAAAAGTGCATCCACCAGCGAGCTGACCGGACTCACGAAGAGATGTGCTGCCTCTCGTTTATTTTCAGAATGTCCAGGTCAACCGTGAGGCCTTCTAGCTTTATTCCGAAGTCACGAAGTCTGCACCCAGGCTCTGCAATCTCAATGCCTCCCCGCAAAAGTCCTTCCTTTTTAAGCCACTGCAACCTCATATACAATATTCACTATAAACAAGGATTACAGTGCCCGCCTCCCCTGCACTGTAGCAAGCCCTCCTCTTCCCTAGGAGCCTGGATCTGCTTCTACCCAGGATCTCCTGGAGCCCCGCTCATTACCCCAAAGGGTCCTCCCTGCTTTGCCAGCTCAAGGTGTTTTAGTTCCTGTGATGTCCAAGAAAGCAGCAGGAAAAATGATGCTTTACTCTGATGTCACTACAAATTCTGCACACACACCAACCGGCACAACTATCCTTTTTTGTAACTTTAAACCATTTTGGGTGAAGAAAATTCCACTGGAGAGTCACACGCACCCTCTCCTTCTGCTGATTTTGCTGTGTGCTCAGCTTATCCAAGTATCTTTTGGTACATCTGTGCAGTTATCAAATGGCACAGCACTGTGTAAATATTCCACACCTAACACAATCCATTTCAAGATGGTGGCAGCACATCAACACCCACACTTGCTGACAGAAGGCAGCCGTGCTACACAAACACCAACTAATATCAACCCTATAGAAAGATTGTCTTCCGGCTGGGCATGGCGGCTCATGCCTGTAATCCCAGCACTTTGGGAGGCCGAGGCAGGTGGATCACCTGAGGTCAGGAGTTGGAGACCAGCCTGGCCAGCATGGCGAAACTAGACATGGTCTCAACTAAAAATACAAAAATTAGCCGGGCATGGTGGTAGGAGCCTGTAGTCCCAGCTACTGGGGAGGCTGAGGCAGGAGAATCACTTGAACCCTCGAGGCAGATATTGCAGTGAGCTGAGATTGTGTCACTGCACTCCAGCCTGGGGACAGAACGAGACTCTGTCTCAAAAAAAAAAAAAAAAAAAAAGCTTGTTTTCCTAACTCTGCAGGACTGGGTCAGTGTCCACACTGGCTTGAAAGCTCTGAACATATTTATCTCATTGTAGAAGGAAGCTAGGCTGTGAGCACGCTGGACATTAGAAACAGGGTAACAATGAACAGTTCACCTCGAATATCATTCACCTACAAAGTAGTTACTGTATTTTCTTAATTTAAAGACAAACACAGAGTGTTTCATGCAGGGACACGCAGCACACCCGACTGCCGTGGGAGTGGAGCCTTCACTGCCTTTTAGGCTGCGTCTGACACACCAGGAAGTACAAACGAGAGGAAGAGTCTCGTCCAGATTTACCTAAAAACTGACTTCTAAGCACCAGGTGCAGTGGCTCATGCCTGTAACCCCAGCACTTTGGGAGGCCAAGCGGGGAGGATCACCTGAGGTCAGGAGTTTGAGACCAGCCTGGCCAACATGGTGAAACCTCATCTCTACTAAAAATACAAAAATAAGCTGGGTGTGATGGTGGGTGCCTGTGATCCCAGCTACTCAGGAGGCTGAGGCAGGAAAATTGCTTGAACTCAGGAGGCAGAGGCTGCAGTGAGCCGAGATCATGCCACTGCACTCCAGCCTGGGGGATAGAGATTCCCTCTCAAAAAAAATAAATAAAAATGACTTTTTCTCAGATAAAGTGATGGTGGCAGAGCAGAAGACAAGAAGACAAGGTAGCAGAGCATCTGAGCAGCCTTAGCAGGGCGTGGGCGCCGAAAGCAGAGCCTGGTGGGAGGCCTGTGTCTGCGGCAGGCAGCGCACGCCGGCACTGAGCCCACCTCCTCAGTGCTCAAGGGGTTGGTTCCCAGGATTTCAAACAATGCAGGAGTGTAAAGGGAGTACGGCTCCGGGTTCATCACATGCTCCATGAATCGCGGCTCTCACACTGCCACGTGTTCTATGAGTTTAGGGTTTTTAACAGTTTGTCCAATTCCTGTAAGACAGGCAGGCAGGGAGAACACGGCACATGAAAGCGGATGGACAACCCTGCCCCTGCCCCTGCCCCTGCCCGGCCACTCGCCATCAAATAACTGCACACAGATTACCAGCAGTCCTGGAGAAAAGGTGCCTAGGCGCAGACTGGCTCCCATGCTGTTCCCTTTGTGGGCTCGGGCGGGTTAGCTCTTTCACACCTCTGTAAAGTGAGGTGCATCAGGACAGATTCACACAGCAGGCCCAAGGTGGTGTCCTTCCAAGGACTGTGTGCAAGGCAGGCCCTGGACCGACATCTGGGAACTCGGATTCTGGGAGAGCTCCCAGCACCGTTACTTAAGGGTGGCTCTGTGCCCACAGGGCTTGTGCCAACGGTACAGAGCATACCAGCTCTCCTTCCGGACAGGCCAGGCAGCGTGCCATGGGACCAGCCCTTAGTAAAAGCCCTGGCTGCCGAGTCCCCAGTGGGCTTGTTCTCAGAGTTAAGCGTGTCTGTATGACTCCAGGGAGTGGGCCCTGCGGCGTCAGCACATGGCTCCTCTGAGCACCGCCCACGCACCCTCTGCCTTTGTGCTGAGAGCACCACCCTATGCTGGGCCCTGGGAGATCTCACAGAGGCCACATAACCCCGCAAAGACTAATAGTAACTCTTTTTTTTTTTTTTTTTTAATTTAGACTAATAGTAACTCTTACTTCATAGGATTAGAATGAGGGTCACATGAGTGAATGTGGACACGGGCTCGACTCCCAGCAGCTACGTGTGACTCACTTCATAGGATTAGACTGAAGATCACGAGTAAATGTGGACACGTGCTCGACTCCCAGCAGCCAGGTGTGACATGGGTGGTAAGTGCCTGTCTACCTGGTCACTGCGGTAAACAATAATATATATAAAAACATTTTGTAAAGAGTGAAGAATTACACAAATAAAAAGTGGCATTATTACTTATAATGGCAAGTATTTCTGAGTAAATATTATTGCTAACAAATATCTGCTTGCTGAATACAGACACAAGCCAAATTCCAAACATACATTAGACAACTAGATACAGGAAACACTTGGTGTTTTCCCCTTATGGGGTGAGAGAGATCTTTATAAAACCTTGATAATATAACATTACCACTTTCTATTATCTGTTCCGCAGTTCTAAACATTATCTGACAAATTCTTACTGTAATCCAGGAGAGAGAAAAATAACTTGAGGGAAAGTATTCGGGAGTGATAAAACAGAAAGAAAATTACCTGTGGTAAGGAACGGTATTGTATTTGACTTTTTTTTACCCTGGAGGTAAAACATGAGGTGACACTTCTGCTTAATACAATACTGGCAGCTTAAAAATGCTTCAGATAAACTGTATCCCCGACAGCTGCAAGCATCAGCAGGAAACCCTCTGTCTCTGAGGATTCACTGCCCTTCTGCTCAGAGGGTGGCGGGAGTGGAGGTCGCTGCTGAAGGGTGATGATGTGGCCACAACCCGGGCAGAGGGGACAGAAGACACCAGAGACCCAGAAGGCACATGACTGCCTGGCCTCGAGTCACTAAAGCAGTTTTATTTCATTCTTGTTTTACTTTTCGAGGATGGCTTTCTCTACCCTCTTAAACTTTTTCAGTTCAACAGCTAGTTCCCAGTATTTGAGATAGAGCCACATGAGTCTGCCATTCCGGCGTTTGTTGGTATTCCACACATCACCACAGTATGTATCATGCTGAAATATGTCGGTGAGACCGGCTCCCATCTCTAGGTCAGCAGCGACAGGGTCAACGGACGCTCGCACCAGTAAGCTCTTCTCCAGCTCCAGCCGCTTGCTGCGAGGAAGAAACAGACTGCAGTAGATATTCTGTCTTTCTGTGAGAACAGCTTCAAACTCCTTCAGCAAAAGCCCGGCTCTCCTTTGCCAGTTCTCTTCCTTCTGGAGGCAGCTCAAATACGTACTTCTCAAAGGCTGCACCTGTCTTTTTTCTTGCATTATCTGAGCCCGTTCCTCTTCCAGAAGCTTCTTTTCTTCTACCAACTTGCGTCCCTGAGAGATAAGGGCTTCTCGATAACTAGCCGTTCTGTTTTGTTCCTTTTCAAGTTCTAAAGACAGCTGAGCAACAGCACGCCGATTTTCTGAGATCATGGCATGGTACCTGGCTTCCAGATCCCGTTGGAAAGCAGTAGTTCTCTGACGGTATGCTTCTCTCTCTTTTTCTATTTCTTTCTGGGACTCCCTAGACCAAATCCAACCTGACATGAACGAATTGGAGAAAAATACACATAATGAAAAAGTTAGGGCTGATGTTCTATAATCTTCACTTAAATCAGAAGGCAGCTAAGACAGCCTTTCTTTTTTTTTTTTTTAATTGCATTTTAGGTTTTGGGGTACATGTGCAGAACATGCAAGATAGTTGCATAGGTACACACATGGCAGTGTGATTTGCTGCCTTCCTCCCCTTCACCCTCACCTGGCATTTCTCCCCATGCTATCCCTCCCCAGCTCCCCCCAGCATTTCAATAAAAGCTTAAGACCTCAGCCATACCAAGAAGATCACTTTTATATAAAAATGTGTAACAGGCAAAGTTCTTATCTTAAAATCAGAGGCTGGGTGACCAGAAGACCCTAACCCCAGCCCTTTCCTTCTTCTAATTTGTTGTTGCTAAGAAGATCTGCCACTGCTGTTTTCTCCTCTCAGACCCTCCACATTTGCCTACTCTGGCTCCTGTACAACTGGCAAAGTTTAACATATTTGGGTCGGCTTCAACTCCCGTTGGCCAGGTTCTTATACAAGTTGTATATAGCTTTGCCTGGTGGTGACTGGTAAACGGCCTGAGTGGGAGATACTGCTTATGTTTTGATAAGAGCACAAAAAATAAAGTGGGTTAAGAAGTTCAGCCTCAAGACATGGTGGGCTTCTTTCCTCCAACGGGAGACTGCTGGAATCTCACAAAAACAGGACGGGGATTGCTGGGAGGCTGAAGTGGGCACTGCCCAGCTCTGCCCCCACACCGAGGAGCAGCAGGGCTGCCCTGCATGCAGAGAAACCCAGTGTCTCTAAGACCTGATGACCCACAAAGCCTGCTGGCTAGCAGGCGCCTGGCTCCGGATGCAGTCACCACTCTTTCCCCATCCCATGAGTAACAGCTGGATGTGTTTCAACAATAAAAAAATGAAAGTGAGACAATACTTCCATCCACATTCCGAACCGATGCTATTGCTCTATAATTTAATGAACGTTGGAGCAACTACATGCTAAGTCTTAGTTTTCCAAAATAACGATGTGTTCCGCTTGTACATTCTAAGGGCAGCGTGGATTTGAGTCCCCTGGAAAACAGATTTGTTCGGCAAATTTTCAAAGCCCAATGCCCCAGAAGCCACTGAAAGCAGCAGTCTGGATTCTCTCAGGCACGTGTACCCTGCACCCCGTCCCCCACGCCCCACGCTGTGGGACTCCCTCATCTGTAGCCACGTCTAGAATCCCTGCAGTTTCCATCAACTGTAATGGTTCTCTCCCTCCTTTTGCTGCTTCCCCCAACCCAGGTGGTGTCCTTGCCATTCAGTTTTTTCCCAGGTCATTAACGATCACCTTTGTGGGAGCAATTCCATGATAGCAAGACTTCCCTTCACCTGAAAGCCGGTCTCCCTTGGATACGCTATTGCCGCCTCACTGCACAAGCACAAGACCAAACTCATCCTTCCTCAACCAAAAAGAGCTGCTAGTCCTGCTTCAGATGACAACCCAAACTCATGTCATCCTTGTCTTCTCCCGCTGACAAGAGCTCACAGGCAGGGGGCCTGATCAGGAAAGAGGCAGTCACAACGTCACTCAATAAGCACTGAGGGGTTTGCAAAGGTGAGTGAGAAGAGAGAAGGGAAGGCTCATCTGGTTTTGGTGAAGTCCAGGAAGGCTCCATAAAGAGGTGAATGAACAAACTCTGGAAGGCTGAACAGGAGCTGCAAGGAAAAGTCACCTCAAGTCAAATGAGCAGGGCAGGAGAGGGCATCGGAGAGCAAGAGCTTCCAGGCACCGTATGTTTTGGGACATATGTTCTGGGGATGGGGCGTATGTCAAGAAGATGGAGCTGGCTCTGGAAAGTCTCAGGTGCCAAATGAGAGGGGTCCCAAGAGACCCAGACAAGGAGCCCGGGATGTGCCCTGCAGCCATGAGGAGTCAAAGGAATAACCTGATTTAGGAGCATCCAATAGGTGTGGAGGACTGGAGGTGGGGCTGGGAGGGGTGGGCAGAACCAAGGGGAGGCAGGGGCCACTCCCTGATACAATCTGGGTGCAATCTGAGTCAAGTCACGTCCCTGACACATAAAACAACTGGAAGACTAATACAGACAATGACATACAGTTAAACATCAGACCACACCATACGGGCTGTGCTTATTGGGAAGTTTTTGGCTGGTTGGGGAGCCAGGCAGGGGAGGCTACAGCCAATTTTGCAGAGGAAAGTGTGGCACGACAGGCTGGGTATCAGGAAAACCTTAATTCTGAGTCTGACCTGACAGATGTCTCGTGACTTTGGGCACAGGCAACTTTTCAAAGCCTCAGTTTCAGTTGGGACTGCTGCTTCTGGGAAGATGGGGCGGACATCCTCCCTATTGTTCTTGTTAAGTACACTAACAATCCCTGACATCATCTATAAAACGAGATGACTCTGAAAGGGGGAGAGAAGGCAAACTGGCTTGGCTCCTTGGGACCCCAGGAGCCACATGGGGGCAAGTCCTCTAGGTTTTCATTTTGCCTCATAGATCCCAGACTTGGAGCTGAAGACACAGGCATTGGAAATCTTGACGGTTGCACATAAAAAAAGAAACTAACGAAGCCTCCTCTCTCTGCCCAAAGGACCACGATAGGGGCCTAGCAAGAGAGAAAATGTTCTTACAATAATCACTCTACGTCAGTCAAATAACACGGAAAAACTGTGGCCCACCTCCACCCACATGGGTAAAGGCTGAACAGGAGCCACTCCCACACAGCTGCAAACACAGGGTATGGTTGGGGGAGCCACATGGGGAGCAGCAGTGAGGTCTTCCTGGCAGGGAACACCAGTGGAGGCCAGGGGGCTAGAACTCCCACCCTTTCCTCGGGGGCCCACGGGGGCCAGAAGCTGAGTGGGGAGCCTGGACTTCCAGCCCAACCTGGCAATAAGGAGGCCACATGGCCCTTCCCCTGCCAGGGTGGGTTCCAAAAAGCCAGCTAAAACCGAAGGTTTAAATAAAAACCAGTGTTTCATCACATAATATGCAAAATGCCTAGGGTCCAATAGAAAATAACTCATAACACCAAGGCCCAGGACGGGTCATGCCAAATGAACAAAGATAACCAACAGATGCCAATAGCCAGGTGAGAGATGGCAGTATTATCCAGCAAGACAGAAAGTCTAAGAAAATAAACAGAAGACGCCCAGGTGCAGTGGCGTGTCCCTGTAATCCCAGAACTTTGGAAGGCCATGGCGGGCAGATCATGAGGTCAAGAGATAACAGCCTAACCTGGCCAATAAGGTGAAACCTCATCTCTATAAAAAATACAAATATTTTCCAGGTGTGGTGGTGCATGCCTGTGGTCCCAGCTATTCTGGAGGCTGAGGCAGAAGAATCACTTGAACCCTGGAGGTAGAGGTTGCAGTGAACCGATATCGAGCTACTGCACTCCAGCCTGTCAACACAGTGAGATGCCATATCTAAATAAATAAATAGAAGACATAAAGAGCCAAATGAAAATTCCAGAACTGAAAAACATAACAACTGGAAGAAAAACCAGAATGACAGAATGGACATGGAGGAGTGAAAGAAGCGAACCCCAGGCTGAGACTCGGGACTTCTTCCCTCACAAACACAGAAACAAAATCCGTCACAGCCTCACCGCAGACATGATTCTACAGGACACGAAAGTAACTCTACAGCATGACCACGTGAGGATTGCTCCAGAGACAAAAGCCTGCTTCAATATTCAAAAATCAATGTAATCTAACACATTACTAAGCTGATGAAGAAAAATCACATGATCACATCAATTAAAACAAAAAAATGGATCAAATTCAACACCTATTCATGAAAACCAGAAATACAGGGAGCTTCCCTGACTTGATAAAGTACATTTATGGAACACCTGCGGCTGACTCTGTACTTAGCTGGGAGAGGCCAAGGGCATCCTCTCTCAGGTCAGGGACCGTCCAACAGAGTCCCAGAACCTGCAGCCAGTGCCGGAAGGCAAGACAAAGAAATCAAAGGCAAACAGGTTAGAAAGACGAGATACAACTAAAGTCTTATCCCTTATAATACAATCAACTCAAACAGGAAGGGCTTAAATATACAACTAAAACTTTAGGGGAAAAGCCGTCAGGATCTAGGGCAGAGTTCTCAGACTTCCACGAAAAGCATGGTTCATAAAAAGAAACGATGGTGAGCTGCATTTCAGGAACATTACAGCTGCCACTGCAAATGCCCCTGTGAAGAGAATGAAAAGATGGGCTACCGACTGGGAGGGGACACTTGCAAGCCACATACCCAAGTGAGCACCAGCATCTAAGACATATTAACAACTCTCAAAACTCAATGTTGAAAAACAAGCAGTCCTATTAGAAAATGGCTGAAAGATAACAACGCTCATTTCATCAGGATACGCTGACGGCAGTGAGCACGTGAAGAGATGCAGGACATCGCTCACTACAGCCACGATGAGAAGATGCTCAACACCGCACAGTAGAGCCACGACAGAGGCGGCACCACACTCCCATCAGGACGGGCTGGACAGGACAGCAGTGCGAGAACCGCACTCCCATCACTACGGGCTGGACAGGACAGCAGTGTGAGAACCGCACTCCCATCACTACGGGCTGGACAGGACAGCAGCGTGAACACCACACTCCCATCAGGACGGGCTGGACAGGATAGCAGTGTGAGCACCACACTCCCATCACGACGGGCTGGACAGGACAGCAGAGTGAGCACTGCACTCCCATCACTACGGGCTGGACAGGACAGCAGCGTGAGCACCACACTCCCATCACTATGGGAGGGACAGGACAGCAGCGTGAGCACCACACTCCCATCACTATGGGAGGGACAGGACAGCAGCGTGAGCACCACACTCCCATCACTATGGGAGGGACAGGACAGCAGCGTGAGCCCCACACTCCCATTGGGACGGGCTGGACAGGATAGCAGTGTGAGCACCGCACTCCCATCACTACGGGCTGGACAGGACAGCAGTGTGAGCACCGCACTCCCATCACTATGGGCTGGACAGGACAGCAGCGTGAGCTCTGCACTCCCATCACTACGGGCTGGACAGGACAGCAGCCTGAGCTCCGCACTCCCATCACTATGGGCTGGACAGGACAGCAGTGTGAGCACCGCACTCCCATCACTACGGGCTGGACAGGACAGCAGCGTGAACACCACACTCCCATCACTATGGGAGGGACAGGACAGCAGCGTGAGCACCACACTCCCATCACTACGGGAGGGACAGGACAGCAGCATGAGCACCACACTCCCATCACTATGGGAGGGACAGGACAGCAGCGTGAGCCCCACACTCCTATCAAGACGGGCTGGACAGGATAGCAGTGTGAGCACCGCACTCCCATCACTACGGGCTGGACAGGACAGCAGCGTGAGCTCTGCACTCCCATCACTATGGGCTGGACAGGACAGCAGCGTGAGCTCTGCACTCCCATCACTACGGGCTGGACAGGACAGCAGCGTGAGCTCTGCACTCCCATCACTACGGGCGGGACAGGACAGCAGCGTGAGCTCTGCACTCCCATCACTACGGGCTGGACAGGACAGCAGCGTGAGCTCTGCACTCCCATCACTACGGGCTGGACAGGACAGCAGCCTGAGCTCCGCACTCCCATCACTATGGGCTGGACAGGACAGCAGCGTGAGCACCGCACTCCCATCACTATGGGCTAAACAGGACAGCAGCGTGAGCTCTGCACTCCCATAACTATGGGCTGGACAGGACAGCAGTGTGAGCACTGCACTCCCATCACTACGGGCTGGACAGGACAGCAGCGTGAACACCACACTCCCATCACTATGGGAGGGACAGGACAGCAGCGTGAGCACCACACTCCCATCACTACGGGAGGGACAGGACAGCAGCATGAGCACCACACTCCCATCACTATGGGAGGGACAGGACAGCAGCGTGAGCCCCACACTCCTATCGAGACGGGCTGGACAGGATAGCAGTGTGAGCACCGCACTCCCATCACTACGGGCTGGACAGGACAGCAGCGTGAGCTCTGCACTCCCATCACTACGGGCTGGACAGGACAGCAGCGTGAGCTCTGCACTCCCATCACTACGGGCTGGACAGGACAGCAGCGTGAGCTCTGCACTCCCATCACTACGGGCGGGACAGGACAGCAGTGTCAGCACCACACTCCCATCACTATGGGCTGGACAGGACAGCAGAGAAACACCAAATGCTGACCAGGAGGTAGAGAAACTGATCCACTCATGTGTTGCTGGTGAGAACCTACAATGGTGCAGCTACTTGGGAAACTATTTGGCCCTTTCTTAAAAAACTAAACATGCAACTACCATAAACCTAGTGACTGCACTTCCGGCCGTTTATCCCAGAGAAAGGAGAACTTAACATCCACACAACTACCATAAACCTAGTGACTGCACTTCCGGCCGTTTATCCCAGAGAAAGGAGAACTTAACATCCACACAACTACCATAAACCTAGTGACTGCACTTCCGGCCGTTTATCCCAGAGAAAGGAGAACTTAACATCCACACAACTACCATAAACCTAGTGACTGCACTTCCGGCCGTTTATCCCAGAGAAAGGAGAACTTAACATCCACACCACAACCTGCACAACAATGTTTATGACAGCTTTATTCGTAATAGCTGAGAACCGGAAATGACCCAGATGTCTTTCAGTGGTGAAACACACAGTGATACGTCCATGTCATCAAACATGACTCAGCAACAGAAATACCAATGAACTGCTGATACAGCAACAATCTGCATGGATCTCGGGGGACTATGCTGAGTGAAAAAAGCCAAGCCAAAAGGTTACATACCATTCAAGTGCATTTCTATAACACTCTTGAAATGACAAAAGTCTGGAGGTGAGGAACAGATTAGCGGCTGCCAGGAGTTGTGGAGGAAGGTGGGGTACCCAAGGGCAGCCTGAGGGGCCCCGCCAGGAGTTGTGGAGGAAGGTGGGGTACCCAAGGGCAGCCTGAGGGGCCCCGGGACTGCTGTACCTTGACTGACTCCTGGCGGATGTCTTGACTGTGACACTGCCCTGTTGTTTTGCAGATGTTTCCATTGGGGAAAGCTGGGTAGAGGGTACATGGGCTCTCGGTATTACTGATTATAACTCCATGTGATTTACAATGACCCCAAAATAAAATGTTTAATTAAAAGAAACTGAGTTGGACCCAGTGAACTCAACCAGTCCCTTTCAGCTCTAGGACGATGTGTTTTCTAGGTCAGGGGAGGAAAGAGGAGGTAAAGGAACGCTAGAGGGAGAAAGCCTGGAGAGAGGAGATGGGGAAGGGGAATCAGGAAGACCGAGAGAAAAGCGGGGAAAGCAGAATGGCAGAGGGGTGTGAAGAGAGAGAAGCTCACTGGAGCGCTGAGACCCTGAACACTCTTCCTCACGGTAAGAATTTCTCCACGGACTGCTCTAGCCTGAAAGCACAATTATACACACTTCTACGTTATGTTAAGTAAAAACTAGCAAATGACGTAGGTGATCAGGACAAAACTAGCCTCTCATCAATAAATCATTCAACAGTGTTTATCAAGTATTCATCTGTCTTCCTCTTCTACACTACAGTGGGGCTGGTCAACGCTCCTGTGTGAAACAGAACCTCAAACACATCACAACACACCTTTGGAGAATCCTCCTAAGAAAGCCAAGTTAACAGTTACCTCTGACCACATGACCTCAGCAAAACACCAAGAAGAAAAAATAAAATATTCTTCAACCCTTTTCGGGGACAAAAAGCATCATTTCAAACGTCCAAGAAGGGAAGGCAAGAATTATTTCAAAGTGAAAGTTACCATGAAAGGCTATAAAAGCTGAAGATGAGTCTGAAAAACAATTGGAAAATGAGTCACTTCAGGGCCTCTCCCAGCCTCAAAGCCAATTAATTATTATATTAGTAAGAGTAATTTTAAGGCTTCCAATCCACTCACCCTAGCCACAGGCAACAGCAGCCTCTCCGAGTGTTAAGTGTTTTTTTCCAAGCCTGCAGGCGGGTGAGCTTTTTAGGTGGCAGCCCGTTAGGGCTGTATGTGGACCAGCCTTGTCCTTCACGAAGGGGGCACTGTGCAGATCACTGAATCAAAAACCACCTGCTCTTACCAGCCTCCACTTCCTCTACAGCAAAACTTTAGACCTGCGACATCAAAGCAGATAAGAGGCCCTACAGAAAACACACCACTACAGCTAGAGGACAGGTTTGCCTTTCACCCATTCAATTACTCGGTTTCTCATGCTCTGAAGTGCCAGCCCAGAACCAGGGAATGAGAAGCACAAACTCACTCCTCTACATCAGTGAATTGACTGTGTGCTGGGGATATGATAAGTCTGCATGTGACTGGTAGGTCCCCAAAGTGACACCAAGTCAATCCAAACTAGAGAGAATTTCTGGCCAGGAGGAGCAGAGATTTCACAGATGATGCCTTTCAAAATTGACTTCCTGAACATTAAACATCACTGGTTTTCCAAAACTGTTTTGTTTTTTAACCCTGCTGCCCAGGCTGGAGGGCAAGTGGTACGATCTCCACTCACTGCAGCCTCAACCTCCAGACTCAACTGATCTTCCCACCTCAGCCTCCTGAGTAGCTGAGACTACAGTTGTGTGCCGCTAATTTTTTTTTTTGGTAGAGACGGGGTTTTGCTCTGTTGCTCGGGCTGGTCATGCGATCTGCCCACCTGGACCTCACAGAGTACTGGTATTACAGGTGTGAGCCACCATACCCCCTCATCGGTCCTTATGAGGGCACCTGAAACAAAGGACCCCCCACCCCTCACTCTTCCACTGGAGAGCAGCAAAGCCTTGAGAGAGAACTAATAGCTATTAAAACCTACCCCAAACAAAATACTTCTAAACGCATTGGCTTACTTAATCCCCGCAATGTGCTGAGGTTAGGTATGATTATCCATCTCCATGAACAGGAAAACGGAGCCTCAGAGTTAAGTAATTTGCCCACAGTTCACTGCATGGGATAAAACTCGGCTGTCCTTGGAAGGTCCCAAAGTCACGGCCTTCAGGCTCCCACACCATGCTGCCTCCCTCACCGGGCTCCACACTCACAGCTTAGAAAACATGAATCTTAAGGAAACCATGACTTACGAAAAGCAGCCAGTCCCAGCATTGGAACCAATAGGGCATAATTCCATCTGCTTCCATCACCACCATCCGCCCTGGAATTAGGCCGGATATTCCAATTTGGGGGATCATTTAGGTTATTCATGGAGATATACCTTGAAGTAAAGAATAAGAATGTTAACTACTTTTATTCAAGAAAATTTCTTCAGTTTTAACTATGTGCTGCACAGCACTGAGCCCTACGGGATTAAAGGAGAAAAAACACAAGACCTTAGACGCAGGCGACTCACAACCTGGTCGGGGAAGGTGGAGAAAGCAGACATGTCTCAGCCATCTGGAACGCAGGCAGAATGAGGTACGTTCATGTATAGCTGCTGTGATGGTTAATTCTGTGTGTCAACTTGACTGTGCCACGGGGTGCCCAGATACGTGCTTTAACATTATTTCTGGGTGTGTCTGCAAGGGTGTTTCTGGATGAGATTAGCATTTGAAACCTTAAACCAATTCCTTACATCTCTCCCCTCTACTGCTTGTCTCTCTGGAGAACCCTAATAGAGTTGTATGAACAATACAGAAGCAACTCAGTAAAAGTAGGCTCACACTGACACTGTCACATGAGCTAGCGTTTGAAGAGTGAGCAGCATTTAAACAGGCAGAGATAGAAGGAAAGGGTCTTCTGATCCGGAGGAAGACTGTGAGGAAGGCAGGGAGGGGTCATGTGATGGGGAAGGTACGAACAGGGCTAGAAGCTGCTCAGGCCTCCTCCTGTGGTGGTGATAAATGCAGAGATTACAGAGCTGCCTGCTTCAGGCTCAACATGCACCCTCTATAGCTAGCCTGGGTTTATATGAATTACAATTTACTGTGTACCTACACAAGGTTTCACATTTTCACAAACGAGTCACTTCGTTTACATGTGACCTCCATAAATACATACGATGACAAAATACCCAATCAAGGGATGTATAAGAAACAAGAAATCCAATTTCTGAAAACTTTTCATCTGATTTTCAACGAATACTTGTTTAACACCTAAAGACAGAAAATTATAATATACAATAAAGATATGACAAAAATATGTCTTGGAGCTTAATACTAAGGGATTGTGGTAATTATAGAATTAAAAAAATTAAGGCTGGTGAGGTGGCTCTCGCCTGTAATCCCAGCACTTTGGGAAGCCAAAGCAGGTGGATCACCTGAGGTTAGGAGTTTGAAACCATCCTGGCCAATATGGTAAAACCCCATCTCTACTTAAAATACAAAAAATTAGCTGGGCACGGTGGCGCGTGCCTGAAATCCCAGCTACTTGGGAGGCTGAGGGAGGAGAACTGCCTGAACCCAGGAGGCGGAGGTTGCAGTGAGCCGAGATCACGCCATTGCACTCCAGCCTGGGTAACAAGAGCGAAACTCCATCTCAAAAAAAAAAACAAAAATTAGCTGGGCATGATGGCGGGCACCTGTAGTTCCAGCTACTTGGGAGGCTGAGGCAGGAGAATCTCTTGAACCCTGGAGGTGGAGGTTATAGTGACACAAGATCATGCCATTGCACTCCAGCCTTGCAACAAGAGCTAAACTCCATCTCAAACAAAACAAAACAAAACAAAAAAATAGATAACTAACCTAGGACCAAAACTGCATAACTTTCAAAAAAATGTCTAGGAGGCATTATGTTTATTAACTGCAAGCCAATAAATGCCACATCTGGGGCATGCATCTAAGGAAATAATTCTAAAGATAAAGTTATGGTCACAGATATGTTCTTTATGGTGTTATTTATTAGCAGCAAAAATGGGAAACCCAAATATCAACAAAATGGGACTGAATCATTGAAAACTTACTAAAATAACTCAAAACAGTTAAAAAACATTATGTACAATAGGAAGATTTTAATACTTTAAAGTGAAAAGGCAGGAAACAGAATTACTAATGATTATTGGTTTAATTTTCATGCCACTTCATTCCACAAAAAGATCTCAGGTATTTTACAAAACGACACACTAGAAAAATTAAAACACTATCCGAACCAGAAGCAAAATCAGGGTAAGCTGGCAGAAAGTCGTATAAGCCAAAGGGATCGCAGCTTTCAAAGCTGACCCAGGCGGCGCGCTGTGGCTCCGCCCGTAATCCCACATGTTAGGAGGCAGAGGAGGGAGGATCGCTTGAGGCCAAGAGTTCGAGACCGGGCAACAAAGCGAGAGCCCGCCTCTACAAAAAATTTAAAAATTAGCCGGAAGCCAGAGGCTGGGGACATGAATGAGGGTGACTCCCACCCCTCCGAGGCCGGAGGCCGAGGGTCACTCCCGCTCACTAGAGGCCGGAGGCCCAAGGCAGCTCCCGCCCAACCCCGCGGACAAGCGCCGCCCCTCCGACCCCATTCCCTGAGGGCTGGACGTTCAGGCCCTCTCGATCTGGGCGATCCCGGAGAACCATCCACGGGGCTTTAAAAATGTTGGTGCCCGACACCTCCCCAGAACAGGGCCCGCCCTACCTCAGTCCGAGAAAGCGGGACCTCGGTGTCGCCCCCAGCGCCACCGTCCGCAAGTCCGCTTTGCGCAGGCGCGGCGCCCCCACTCAGCCCCCGCCCAGGGTGTGGCGTGGTGCGCAGGCGCGACGTCCCCCGCGGCCGCCCAGCTGGACCCCGGCGTAGTACGCAGGCGCGGTATCCCCCCAGCGCGACCCCGGTGTGGTGCGCAGGCGCAGTCTGCGCGGTGACTGGCGGGACAGTACGGCTGCAACTGACATGTCGGGGGTCCGGAGGCTGTCACGGCTGCTGAGCGCCCAGCGCCTGGCGCTGGCCAAGGCAGTGAGTCCGTGCCGCGGACCGGGGCGGGGCAGGCAGGGGCCGAGGCAGCAGTAGGAGCGGGTCGGTCCACAGCGGGTCCGAGCGGATCGAGCGCCGGGTCCCCGCACCCCCTGCCCGGGGATCCGGAAGGGGCTGAGAGAGCCCTGGGCCGGTGCGAGGGGGAGCAGCGGGGCGGACCCGGGGGCCGGGGGGGGTCAGTCCTTAGCAAGTCGTCCGCCTCCCGGTGAAGGTCACGACCCCACGGGCTGCTCGGCCCGGGGGTCCCCTCCGCCGCACTGGTCCGGGCCTGGGGTCCGGGGACCCCGCGGGCTGAGGTAGCCACCCCGCCTCAGTGCCTGGCTCGTGGACTCGGGGAGGAGTGGTGTTTGCCCAAGGTCAACCGGGCGTATAGCGGCCGCTGGCCGCCCTGACTGGGCCGGGCCTCTGCCGCCTGTTGTGCTGGTTGTCTGTCCCGCAGGTGGGGCGGACGGGGCGGGTGCAGTGGCCGGGCTCCACCCGGCCGGGCGTCGGGCGGGAAGCGCGGCGCGCCAGAGCTTGGGCCTGCAGTTCCCCTTTCCAGAAAGCGCAAATCTGTGCATGTCCACATGGAGACCTTGTAAGTGAAGGGCCTCTGCTTTGCGGGGGTGGTGTTTGGTGGCCCTTGTGCGCAGTTTTTAAAAATCAGACCGAGAGCTCCGCGCACTGACCGGGCCAGGACGCCAGGACCCGTGCCTTCCCGTGCGTTGTGAGTGCCTCGAGGGCCGGGCTCGGACTAGTCCAGGATGAAGGGCAGGGTTATACTTCCCTGATCCCTTGCTGTCTGAGTTTGTCTGAATGTGCCCTCTGCTATTGCCTCTTCAGAATCGGCCTTCTAGGGTTTTATTTAATCAAGGTAAATTTGATAGGTTTAGTTATTTGGTTCTTTGAAATGAACTTACCCACCCACTTAATTACAAAGTAATTTTAAATTGCAGAGTAAAAATGTCAGTAGGAACCAAGGCATTCAGGAATATTGATTTGAAATATGCCTGTAATTGTGCGATTTTCTGGTTGAATTAAATGTGAGGATTAGTCATGCACCCATCCCGTCTACATCATGTAAATCTAAACGTTTTAGTGTGTTGCTGTGGTTGGTGCTGACTGAGCAGAGACCCCCCGCCGCATCTTGGGCGCTTAAGAGCTGCCAGGAGGGCGTCCACAAGCAAGAAGTAAAGTCCGTGGTCAGTGACGGTAGCTTGCTATTAGAGAAGAGCTAGGGCTAGTACCTTTGTCCTCATCCCGGATGGTGCCCGGTGCTCCTTCTGCAGACCAAGACCCCACCAGCCCTGGAGGTGCTTCAGACAAAATGGCAAGATAGCAAAATTAAACCAAAAGTTAGGCCTACCAAATATGGTCTTGTGTTTTTTAAGTATTTTTATATTGATGAAGTCAGCTTTTCCTACAGAAATTCTGCCTACGAGCAATGTATTTATTGGCACTTCAGATAGGCTTTTTTTCTTGAAGAATTGGAGTTTACAAGGGAACAGCATAATCAAATTAGCAGAAAAAAGAAAGAAATTTATGATAGCCAACTCAGAAATGTGTTTGGAAAATAGATAATTTTGGTAAAGTCCAGAGAGAATTTTTAATCTCACGTTGGCCAGCTCTGTGGTGTTTTGAAGTTGTTCTGTATTTACAGCTGCTTTCAAGTGACGAACTTCTCAGACTTATTTTGCCTTTAGTGTCTTTTTTATGGCCGAGGGCACTAACACAGCCTGCAAACTGTTGAAGCAGCTTAATCACAGGAAACGTAAAACCAAGAAATGTAAATAGTTACTGGGTTAACGGCTTGCTTCAGGTGAAGTTTTTCAAATCCCTTAACAGGAGTATCCAATATATTGTTCTAGGACAAGTTGATTTCTTTGAATGGATTGTCCTGAATATGTTTAATGGTGCTCTAGAAATACATTATTTAGGCCATTATAGTAATAAACTTTTGCTTTGCTTCTTGGGATAATTGTAACAACAATGGCATTCCATTCTGCATTCTTCATGATGTTTTTCCTGGTTTCTGTGGAAAGTTGTGACTTGGTTTTGCTACGAAAACCTGGATATAATATTAGTTGGGAGTCTCAGAGATTTTTCCCAAGGGCCCTTATATGGGGGGGGGGGGGGCGGGCAAGTCTAGGATCCGGAGCCAGCCGGCTGACTAGAATCCTTCCTGAGCTGCTGTCTTTGCGTGGGGCTAGTGAGGATTCTGTGGGTAATGTTTGAAACCTTTGGCAGTGCTCTTCTGAACCAGGGCTCACAGCCTATGCGCAGGAGCCATGTGTGAACTGTATTTTAAGCATCCCTACTTTTCAAATACTAAAGATTACAATTTTAGTGAAAATAATTACATACAGTTGTAAAAGAATCAATTAGTATATACCCCCAACCCCATTTCCCATGGAAGCAATTCTTGTTTCTGATATTGACTCCTGGTATTTGTGATACCTCTGTTTCTTTAGCCCATATGCAGGTGTATTTTTATCCATTTTAGACTTCTTGCCTGGGAGAGGGGATTTAGTTCACTTAAAATACCCTACTTCTGCCTCTTCCTGATACAGTCGTGCAACTATTTTTAGGCTCTTCGTTGGCTGCTCTTGTAATTGTGCAGATTGTACCTGCAGTTTAATTTCTTACCCATTTTATTAGATGAGATTTTATTTTATTAGATGTATTTTACTAGATGAGAACTCTTATTTTGCTAGATTTTGGATGTTAGTGTCTCTATACTTCTTACAGTAATATTGGGGTTCAGGATGCCCTTAGCTCCCCTGAGAGGCCATTTCTCCAGGTTCTTGGTCCCCTGTCCTCTCTGGAAGGAGAGAGGGGACCACGGCGCAGTGCGCAGTAAATGCCGGACTCAAAAGTGTTTGTAGAAAGTGATTTATTTAGAGAGAGAGAAACAGGAGAAGGAGAGAGAAATAAACAGCTAACTCTCACACTGAGTGAGAGAATCCAGAAAGATGGAATCCAGGAGAGGAAAGCAGCTTCCACACTGGGAAGAGAAGAGAGATGAGGGAATAGAGAGAGATGGAGTTTAGGAGGGTAAGACAGGCTTCCACGAAGGGAGTGTTCATGCAAGGGGACTCCAGAGGGAAAATCCAAGAGAGAAAAACAGCTTCCACGAAGGGCGTCTGAAATTCTATATTGTTAAGCAAGGTCTAACTTTTCCTTTTAGTTATATGTTCCCCATTTTTCTTAGAGGAAATGTTTAATAGTTTCTCCTAAAAAAATTAATAATTGACCAAAAAAAGATTAGTTTTGTGTCAAAACTAGTTTTCAATTTTATCTAAAGACTGAAATTGGCTTAAAGTTGGGCTTTCCAAATTCAAAAATCTCCCCCAGGTTAGATTAGATGCAAAGGGTCAGTGCCTTTTTCTCCAGGGGGATGGCGTAGTAATTTGTTAAAGATTTTATTATAGTAGCTGCGCCTTTTAAGCTAGGTCTGCGGCAGGGGTGGGGTGGGGGGTATTCCACATGAACATTCTAGAGAGAACAAATAAACATTTAGTGACCTCACTGTTTCTATTTACATTTGATATAGCATACTGTTTTTTTTTTTGAGACTGAGTTTGGCTCTTGTTACCCAGGCTGGAGTGCAATGGCGCGATCTCGGCTCACCGCAACCTCTGCCTCCTGGGTTCAAGCAATTCTCCTGCCTCAGCCTCCCGATTAGCTGGGACTACAGGCGTGCACCACCATGCCCAGCTAATTTCTGTATTTTTAGTAGAGACGGGGTTTCACCATGTTGACCAGGATGGTCTCGATCTCTTGACCTCGTGATCCACCCGTCTCGGCCTCCCAAAGTGCTGGGATTATAGGCGTGAGCCACCGCGCCCGGCAGCTTATGTCAATAAAAACAAAGAAATAGTCTAGAAATTAGAGAAATGAAGAATTTTTCTCTTGTACAGAATAAATAATTTCTGAATTGCAAGTATTTCTAAATACTTGAAGACATCTCTCACATCCCCTCTTCTGATTGTTGAGTGTATTGTTTCCTAAATTTTTTTTTTTTGAGATAGAGTCTCGCTCCATTGCCCAGGCTGGAGTGCAGTGACGCTGTAGCCACTGCCTCCCGGGTTCAAGCCATTCTCCTGCCTCAGCCTTCCAAGTAGCTGGGATTACAGGTGCCCGCCACCACGCCTGGCTAATTTTTGTGTGTTTAGTAGAGATGGGGTTTTGCCGTGTTGGCCAGACTGGTCTCGAACTCCTGACCTCAGGTAATCTGCCCACCTCAGCTTCCCAAAGTGCTGGGATTACAGGCATAAGCCACTGTGCCCAGCCCCTAAAACTATTCTTTATGATATTTCTGAGACTATTCAGTGGTCTTCTAAAATGCAGCCAGCAGAATGGAAAACACATCCCCTAAATGGCTGGCCAACCTTAGCACATGGAGAATGTCACCTGTCTCACACTGAGCCACTGAAAACTAAACACTAAAAGCACTTTTCTTGGGTAAAGTTTTCTAAGATGGAATATTTAAGATAACATGTGGCAAGTTGTAGACGTTGGCCAGGAAAAAGCCAGGAGCGGCCAGGCAGGGGGAGAGTGTGCATCTGACATCCTCCTGTGTATGATGAAGGGATGACACCTCATCTTTCTAGGCCATCAGCTTTTAATCTTCCAGAATACAGATCTCTGATGCAGTCCATTGCCTCTTGAACTGACCGCAAACCCTCGTGGACAATCGGAACTGTAATGTGGAAAGGGCTGTGATGGAGCCAGTTAAAATGCTTCATTATTTGCAGAATACCACATACAGTAATACAATGTAGTTGTCTTTCCCACTCTCTACTAAGTAGCATAAATTAAGACTTTACGGGGGAAATGTGCCTTTTTCATTTTGGTTTTGTTGCTGTTGTTTTGAGACAGAGTCTCGCTCTGTTGCCAGGCGCCAGGCTGGAGTGCAATGGCGCAATCTCAGCTCACTGCAACCTCCGCCTCCCAGGTTCAAGTGATTCCCTTGCCTCAGCCTGCTGAGTAGCTGGGACTAAAGGCACCCGCCACCATGCCCAGCTAATTTTTGTATTTTCATTTTGTATCTGAGTCAGTGAGTATCCTGTTTGGAAACACGCTTCGTCCTGATTTTCTAGAGTGCTAAGTCAGGTGGAAAGGAGGAACTGGGGACTCAGTCCTTCCTTGCCCCTTGGGCTGCCCTTCAGGGTTAAGTAGAGGTTTCCAGCTGAACTCTCTGGATGCACAGGAGCCCCTGGGTACATAAAAAGGTGACCAGTTTGCAAGGCAGAATTTGAATTATATCCCCCCAGCATTTGTTCCTTCAGGACACTGACCCTCTGGATCTGTGTCTTCTGTGTCTCCAGTGGCCAGCAGCGTCACCAACGGGAACCCGAGGTTTTCACTTCACTGTGGATGGGAACAAGAGGGCATCTGCTAAAGTTTCAGAATCCGTAAGTTCATGCTTTTTGTTCCATTATAAATGATTTTTTTGGCTTGGGGGGAGGGATCTATACCAGTTTGTTTCCATATGAGTCATAGACATAAGAGGAATTCTCAAGGCATCCAGTGCATGCTCAAATGATTTTCAGTGTAATAATTGCAGGTACAAGCATAAACATAGGTGCTAACATTTGTACTTATATCTTGTATGTATCTGTAAACTAGATTTCCATTTAGATCAAGTAAAGCAATAAATTAAAGTAAAATGAACAGTGTCTGCTGTGACAGATGATAAGATCCCCACTGCAGATAGGACGGTGTGGCCATGTGGGTATTTCTTTGGTATTCGGTGTGCGTGTTCTCTCTCTGTTGGAAAACTGAAGCTTGCTGAGAAGTTCTTTTCTCTTCTGCTCCTGATAGCAACTGAATACTCCATGGCACCTTCTCAGCTATGAGCATAGGCACGGCCCTGAGGTAGAGCTGGGGTCCTCAGTTCTCAGGTGGTAGCCCAGACGAACTGGACTATGCTTCTCTAATGAACACTACATTCTAGCATTTTCATGAGAAACCTGCAAATCACAGGCGGGGAAACATTATCCCCACTACGTTAGAAGCTGAGATTTGTTTAGCACATGTGTGGGTATAAACACACAAAAAGAAAAAGTCACGAGGGGAAAGAAAAACCACATTTGGAACTGGCATTTTCATTCAGGTTGTTGCTTTCCTTTGCTTCTACGCCTCCCTGCTTTGGTAAACAGAATTGACAGATTGGGTCTTAATGGTTATGCTTTCCCCAAAATGGATTTTTTAAGGGTATACCTGCAAGTTTTCAGCATTTCAGGTAACGGGGGGTTTCCTGATCCCATGGGCTAGGCCCTCTACCATTCATAGAATCTGATTGTCAGTCCCTTCTCCACGTGTGGACGTGCCCACCTCTTCCCGCACTGTTCAGTGCTCAGCCCCGGGACAGGATGGAGGCCTTGTGGGCCTAGCAGTTGCTCCTTTTATCCTTTTCAAGCTCTTGAACTAACCATAGTCTTCGTGTTTGGCATAGTGGAATATGCGATTGGCAGGTGAATTTTTATTTTCCAGATTTCTGCTCAGTATCCAGTAGTGGACCATGAATTTGATGCCGTGGTGGTGGGCGCTGGAGGGGCAGGCCTGCGAGCTGCGTTTGGGCTTTCTGAGGCAGGGTTTAATACAGCATGTGTTACCAAGCTGTTTCCCACCAGGTCACACACTGTTGCAGCCCAGGTAAGAGAAAGGTGCCCCGCCACGCTCTCACTGCCTGCATGTCTGCCCAGCCTTGCGCCTTCCACCCGGGCGGCCTCCTGCCTCCTCCCCATGCTTCAGCCACATGGCCTCTTGCTGTGCATTGCTCTCTCAGCTCCCTCTCAGGGGTTTTTGCCTGGAGCCTCTTCCATGGGGACTTTGAAGAGCTGGAGCCTTGCTGTCACTCTTAATTGGAACTTCAGTCACAGCTGGGTTTTCTCTGACCATCTCGCCTACTACCCTCCCCACCCACCCTCACCTCCCCAACACCGTAAGAAAAGGAGATCATCTAAAGAGGAGTAATCAGAATTTAGGTTGGGGAAGAAAAGGGCAAGGGTTTCATTTGTCCCTGTGCTGCCATCCTCTGGGACTCTCTGAGGGGTGAAATGGTGGTGGCCACAAACAGCCGAAGGAGAGGGGGTGCCGGGAAGTGTGACTCTTGAGTGTGGAGTTTATTTCTGGGCAGGAAGCACTTCTAGTCTTTAACACATGCCTGTAAATGCCTTTAGGGAGGTTTGTTAATAAAATTATCTGGAAAGATTTGTTGAGTACCTTTTCTGTGCCAGGTGTGTTAGGTAATAAGCATATCACAGGTAGCCTTTTGCTCACTGCTCCAATCAGCCCTTCCTAGAGTTCCCTCTGTCTCCACCACACAGATGATGAGACTGAGGCTAAGGGAGTGAATCACTGGGCGAGTCAGGGGAGGGGTTGTGATCTGGAATCTGCCCGGCCTTGCTGCCCCTCTGCTGAGGGCAGCTCTCCCTGGGAGTCACTGCATGAGGAGTGGCTTTCTCTGAATCCCTGGTGGGTGGATTTGGGCCTGGAAGACAAAGTTGGGGCTCCTGTTTGTGGTTTGTAAGGAGTGGTTGTTGTTACCAGGGAGGAATCAATGCTGCTCTGGGGAACATGGAGGAGGACAACTGGAGGTGGCATTTCTACGACACCGTGAAAGGCTCCGACTGGCTGGGGGACCAGGATGCCATCCACTACATGACAGAGCAGGCCCCTGCCGCCGTGGTCGAGGTGATGAGTGGGAGGCTGTGGGTGCTTTCGTGGTCTGTTTCGAGTACAAAAGAGTCCTGGAGAAAATGTAAGAGATTGAGGCAGATGTGGCCAGCCAAAAGAACAGTGATGAGTCAAGCTCACAAGAGAATCTTTTTCCGTCATGAGCGATGCAGTACATGTAACAGGAAAACTCTCTGATGAAGGGTTGAGATTTTCATAAAATACATGACTTTGGGTTTGCAGGTTTGTGTGAAAGCTGTTTAGGTTAGCTGTGAATATCGTGACTGCTTTAAGGTAATACGTTTTTATGTTTCACAGCTAGAAAATTATGGCATGCCGTTTAGCAGAACCCAAGATGGGAAGATTTATCAGCGTGCGTTTGGTGGACAGAGCCTCAAGTTTGGAAAGGGCGGGCAGGCCCATCGGTGCTGCTGCGTGGCTGATCGGACTGGCCACTCGCTACTGCACACCTTATATGGAAGGGTAAGGCCGCCTCCAGTGCATCTGAGATAGGACCCGTAGTGCCAGGGCTTATGGTGACAACGGGGAATGGGTTAGCGTGCCCAGTGAGTCAGCCAGAGATTATGTAAAAAGCAACAGAGAACAACTGTGTAAGACATGCGCGGGGTTATTGATGTGAGAGTACCAGGCGTGCTGTCAGGAGCTGTCCCTAAGGCAATACGTTATTTCTTGTATCTGTTTTGGAAAGTTGAATTGATAATCTTATATACCAGGTTCTAACTTGGAATATGTGACATTCAGCATAGGACAGAACAAGCAGGTCTTTTGCCTATTCACATGAACAATATCACCTTAAACCTGGAAAGCTGGCTTAACACTTACTTGCCCTTTTTTCTTTCTTTTAGTCTCTGCGATATGATACCAGCTATTTTGTGGAGTATTTTGCCTTGGATCTCCTGATGGAGAATGGGGAGTGCCGTGGTGTGATTGCACTGTGCATAGAAGATGGGTCCATACATCGCATAAGAGCAAAGAACACTGTTGTTGCTACAGGGTAGGAATTAACTTTTATTTTAGTTTGTTTATAAAAATGAATCAATTTCATTTAGAGTTTCTTTATTTTAATAAAAATAGAGGCATTGTAGAATAACGGTTCAGACACAGGCCTTGACATAACCTTGTGAGGATGATGGCCTTTCCCAGCTGTGGTTCCTCATCTGTAAACCATGAGGACAGCAGCACCCACCTTGTGGGAGGTTGAGAAAGCAGGGCCCTCAGGAGATGGAACAGCTAACCCCTCCTGACTTTATATGAGGAAACTGTGGCCTAAAGAGTCACATGGGGTTTTCTGGCAAAATCTCTTGTTTTAGTGGGTACTGTGTTTATACTGGTACCTAGGTTGGATAACTCTTGCTTCTCCACATAATGAAATAAGTAACTTTAATTTTATCCACTGTCAATCTGTTATTTTAACCATTTTAAAAGTTAAAAACTATCTGTACAACAACTATAGGTTGGGGGAAAATATTTTCAAAACCATTTGTCTGATAATACCTCAATATCTAAAATATACAGGCCGGGTGCGGTGGCTCATGCCTGTAATCCCAGCACTTTGCGGGGCCGAGGTGGGCAGATTATAAGGTCAGGAGTTATAAGATGAAGTTCTGAAGAGCTAACATACAACATGGGGCTATAGTTAATATCTAACGTACAACATGGGGCTATAGTTAATATCTAACGTACAACATGGGGCTATAGTTAATATCTAACGTACAACATGAGGCTATAGTTAATATTATTAACTTTAGATTTGCTAAGGTGTAGACTGTAGGTGTCCATATCTCCAGAAAAAAGGATAATTAGATGAGGTAATAGATGTGTTAATTAACTTGTGTCTTCAGTTCACAAAATATATGAAATCATGTACCTTAAATATATACAGGTTTTTTTTAATTCATCAATTATACCTCAGTACATCTGGGGAAAAAAACAAAATCCATAAAAATTTAAAAATTTTCATTATAAAAGTGGTATATGCTTATTGGGGAAACCTTTTGAACAGCACAAAGCTAAAATACAAATAGGGTCAGGTGCATGGTGCCTCGTGCCTGTAATCCCAGCTCTTTGGAAGGCCAAAGTGGGAAGATCACTTGAGGTCAGGAGTTTGAGACCAGCCTGGCCAACTTGACAAAACCCCATTTCTACAAAAAAGACAAAAATTAACTGGGTGTGGTGGTAAATACCTGTAATTCCAGCTACTCAGGAGGCTGAGGCGGGAGAATCGCTTGAACCTGGGAGGTGGAGGTTGCAGTGAGCCGAGATTGCGTCACTGCACTCCAGCCTGGGCGACAGAGCAAGACCCTATCTCAAAATAAATAAATAAAATAAAATACAGATGGAAGTCCCTTCTCTGACCTGGCTTCTATCGTACGCAGGGTAGCAGCACCACAGGCGTGGCCCCCAGTGATGTGTGGGGGTACCTGAGGAGGGGTTGTGTGCACACAGACAGCACTGAGAAGGTGGTGCCCCGGGTGTCTCCATGTCCATTCGCAGTCTCATCAGACAGGAGGTCTGGATGTGGGCTGCTGTGTGCAGTCACTGCTCTCTTGTTTCCAGAGGCTACGGGCGCACCTACTTCAGCTGCACGTCTGCCCACACCAGCACCGGTGATGGCACAGCCATGGTCACCAGGGCAGGCCTTCCTTGCCAGGACCTCGAGTTTGTCCAGTTCCACCCCACAGGTAGGGCACAGTGCAGGCATCGGGCTCATGTGTGTCTCATAAGCGTGTGGTGCCTACTCATTGCTCTGCCATAGTTCTATGCTTTCTCGGCTCTCAGGTCCTGACTTAAATGTCATTTCCTTAAGGAGACTTTGCCCACACCTCCCTAAGGTAGTTTGGGCCACCGTCTTACGCATTCCTCAAGAACCCTAAACCCTGCCTTGGTGATACTTATCCCAGCAGTAAAGCGGGGATTGAGGCCGGGCACAGTGACTCACACCTGTCATCTCAGCACTTTGGGAGGTCGAGGCAGGTGGATCACCTGAGGTCAGGGGTTCGAGACCAGCCTGGCCAACATGGTGAAACCTCATCTCTACTAAAAATACAAAAATTAGGTGGGCATGGTGGCAGGTGCCTGTAATCCCAGCTACTCAGGAGACTGAGGCAGGAGGAACGCTTGACTGAACCTGAGGCAGAGGTTGCAGTGAGCTCAGATCGTGCCACGGCCCTCCAGCCTGGGCAACAGAGTAAGACTCCATCTCAAGTAAAAAAAAAGGCAGGGATTGTTCAGTGTCCCTAATTCGCAACAAGGTCATGTGCTTCTTGGGGGCGGGCAGGTCTTCTCATTGACCGGGGTTCTCCAAGCCCAGCACATGGCAGGGCCTCCATCAGGGTTTCCTGAGTGAGCACCCTGAGAGCTGGGAGGGTGCCATGGACCCAAGAAGCAGCACAGGCGGATTTCAGCTTCGTAGGAGAACATGGAGCTTCTGTGATCGTGGGGTGCAAAGTTAGGACACAGCTGTGACAGAACCCATGTGACATTTAGGCATTGGCTCAGCCCACGTGACCACTGAAGGAGCTTCGTCCTGGGGGAGATGAACTCACCTTGGGGACGTCTGATGGTTGAGGTTACGAATGTGCAGTTTGGAGACATTAACACAGAAATGACAGTTGCAGTCTTGAGTTTGGGGGACGCTTTTCAGAAATGAGTCAGAGAGAGACACATCTGCCTCTTGTTTGATGTGACTCGTCGTGATGTGACTTTCCTGGATTGCTTTTCTAACTTGTGGACTACAGAGACCCCTGTAGTGGTGCTAAGGAACCAGACCTGTGTCTTCTTTTTCTCTCTCAGTGGCATCTTTCTGATCCCTGGCAGGGATGAAAATAAAAAATGTATTTGTCGTGGGGTTTTGTAATTTGTTTAGAGATAGGGTCTTGCTCTGTTCCAGGCTGGATGGAGTGCAGTGGAGCAGTCTTGTCTCACCGCAGCCAGTGCCTCCCGGACTCAAACAATCCTTCCACCTCAGCCTCCCAAACAGCTGAGACTACAGGCATACATTACCATGCCCAGCTTTATTTTTTTATTTTTTATTTTTTTGGCAGAGACATGGTTTCACCATTTTGCCCAGGCTGATCTCAAACTCCTGAGCTTAAGGAATCCACCTGCCCCAGCCTCCCAGAGTGCTGGGATTCCAGGCATGAGCCACCGCGCCTAGCCTGTGTTTATTATTACTGTTTTTAACCGATCAAATGTCACTGACCTCCTGAATTTCCTCTGTAATTTGCTTAGAGCTCCACTTCTCATGCTTTGTCTTCAATATGTGAGAAGCTATCCACACAAAAAAAAAAGAGCATTGAAACTTAGAAAATCAAAAGGCAGGTGAGATACGAGAATCACATTCTTGTTTTAAAAGCAAGATTGCCCTTTTTGTATTCTAATACAAATTGTAGCTTTTGAAATACATTCAGTTTAGGGTTTTTTTGTGGGTTTTTGATCTCCTTTGTTAAAATCTGAGCGCTCAGCATGCCCAGGTTTTCATGGCGTCGAGGAGTCACAGAGCCGCTGTTTGGAGCACACACCGCCGGGCTGCCCAGGTTGGGGTTTGAACTCTGTCCTCAGCTGCATGACTGGATGTTACCAGCATTAATGTGCTTGTCAGTGAGAATGGGGGTCCTACTACCTGGAGTTGTAAAGCTTAAATGAGTTAATAGGCGGAAAGCAGCTAGAACTGTCCATGGCAAATGCAGTGTATTAACTAGAATAATTGTTACTGACCTTGCCACTGTTTGGGTAATTTAGATGTGAATTCTCCAGGCTGGTTATTCTTAACTAAAGTAGTCACCACAGTATCATAGTGCAAAAGAATGTTCAAAAATTAAAACCAAATTGGAGGCATTTAACCACAGCAGGCTGCAATCCAAGTATGGCCACAGCTCTGTGGGCTCCGTTCTGCTCGCTGGGGACTCCGCTCTGCCCAGACCTGCTGCACCGTCAGCCCTGTCAGTGCTCCTTGGTATCCAGACTTCCTACTGTATCTTAACTTTTCTTCTTTCTATTCAGTTTTGCATATGATGCCTTCTGCCTATCCTTCCTCTCTACCGTAAAAATACCTTGAAAAAAATGTGTTTGAAATAGAGACCTAGCAATTGTTGAGTTATAAATGTTTGTGTTTTTTTCAGGCATCTATGGTGCTGGGTGTCTCATCACAGAAGGATGTCGTGGAGAGGGAGGCATTCTCATTAACAGTCAGGGCGAAAGGTTTATGGAGCGATACGCCCCCGTTGCGAAGGACCTGGCATCCAGAGATGTGGTGTCTCGGTCCATGACTCTGGAGATCCGCGAAGGAAGGTCTGTATGTTTATCACCAGAGTCGTCTGAGCAGGCACACGGGCACGTGCACACTCTTCCTTCCCTTCACTTCCTCTTTGGTGACTTCATGTTTGTTTTAGCATCTGGGAGGGCGTTGCTTCTGAGTTTCAGCACTGCCCGCCCTCACCTTCGTGTGTAGGCACTCGAGTGCAGGCCTTCATGTGCAGGCGCTCATGTGCAGGCCTTCCTGTGCAGGTGCTCGTGTGCAGGCCTTCATGTGCAGGCGCTCGTGTGCAGGCCTTCATGTGTAGGTGCTCGTGTGCAGGCCTTCGTGTGCAGGCGCTCGTGTGCAGGCACACGTGCATAGCCACCTCTCAGCTACTGGCTGGCATCTGTTAGTCTGTGATATTTACCTAAAGACCTACATTTTGAAAACTTTAGCCAGTTTTTTTCTCAAATCTGTGGAACATAATTTCTCTGAGTGTGTGTGAGTATGTGATAGATTATGGGAGAGAGAGACACACGCTCCCAACCTGAGGTCGGCATGTGAGCTTGGCTGTTGCGTCTGATACCCACAGATGTTTGTCAGCATTCTTCAAAGTGTGTGGGTTATTTGGCTTTCAGTTTAGAAACAATCTGCAGGTCATTGCCTGACCCTGTTCCTTAATGACACTTGCTGAGTATCTGCTGGTATGGCCTTTAGAGGTTTCACATTTTTATATTTAAAAAAAGAAGTAAATGGTTTTTGGATATGGTGGCCCTCCATATCCATGGGTTCCACATGTGTGGTTTCAACCAACTATGTGTTGGAGATACAGTTGTATCCTTACTGAACATGCAGACTTTTTTCCTTGTCATTGTTCCTTAAACAACACAGCATGACAACTACTTATATAGCATTTACATTGCGTTAGGTACTATGAGTAATCCTGGAGTTGTCGCAAAACTGAAGTGTACAGCTTTAAGTGAGGGATGATTTAAAGTCTGGAGGAGGATGTGCATAGGTTATATGCAGATACTCTCCCATTTCATATTAGAGACAAACATCCACAGATTTTGGTATCCATGGGGGTCCTGGAGCCAGTCTGCCATGGATACACAGGGATGACTATTTGGTATAGAGGCCTTTGTGATGCCATTACCAAGGACAACCAGCAGGTTGTGATCCCCAAGACAAACGTGAGTTCAGTGAGGGCAGAGTTTTTGTTCTGGTTCTCAGCTGTGTCCCAGCACCTAGGATTGTCCCTGGCACAGAGTAGACATTTAGAAAAGATTCGATGAGAGGGTGGGCATACATGAGGGGAAATTTTCCTTAGTATCAGAAAATGTGGAAGCTCACGCTTCCATGATGACGTAGTCTCAGGTTTCCTGCCATTACTGTTCTCTGGCTTATGTGGTGGTGTTCTGTCTTGCCAGAGGCTGTGGCCCTGAGAAAGATCACGTCTACCTGCAGCTGCACCACCTGCCTCCAGAGCAGCTGGCCACGCGCCTCCCTGGCATTTCGGAGACAGCCATGATCTTTGCTGGCGTGGACGTCACGAAGGAGCCGATCCCTGTGCTCCCCACTGTGCATTATAACATGGGCGGCATTCCCACCAACTACAAGGGACAGGTGATGGTGCCAGGTCCTCTCCCACAGCTGGAAAGAAGGCCGGGACCGTGGGGCCCACCTTGCAGTTGTCTCTTTAGATCTTAGAGGAAAAGACAGAGATTTTCTTCCAGAAAGTACTGTGTTGTTTCATAGATTGCACTTTAAATTTACCAGAGGATGGACGGAGGTTAATAATTTATTCCTCCTTAGTAGGTTGTCATGGATACATCATTTGCAGCTTTCTCCATTTTATAAGTACGTTCCTGAATGATGATGTGTTATTTATAATGATTTTCTACATCGAGGGATCTTTATAATTCGTACCTTTGAGTGGTCTGCAGTTCACATAGAGCTTGTTGGTCGCTTAGGCTCCTTGTCGGGTGAGGTGGGTGGAAGCTGTTACTCTCCCTGCGTAGATGAATAGATGAACAGGGAGTAGAAGAGTCTGAAACATCAGTCTCCCTGCTGATGTTCCTCCACCTGCTGTGCTCTCGGGTCTGAGCCAGATCACAGGTAGGAGAGGTCCTTGGGGACATAGGACACGGAGGACAGTCACAGATGCTGACATTGGAAGTCCTCTGACCTGCTTGTAACAGCAGGTACTCGGGCAGAGAGGAAACTGGGGCATACATTTGGAAGTTTCCCTCTGAAGAAGAGTAGCTCTGGTCCTTACTTCCCTCTTAGATGTGGTCTTTACTTCCCTCTCTTTATTTTTTTGGAGATGGAGTCTCACTCTGTCGCCCAGACTGGAGTGCAATGACGCAATCTCAGCTGATTGCAACCTCCGCCTCCTAATTCAAATGATTCTTCCACCTCAGCCTCCCGGGTAGCTGGGATTACAGGCACCCACCATCATGCTTGGCTAATTTTTGCACTTTTAGTAAAGACAGGGTTTCACCATTTAGCCAGGCTGGTCTTGAACCCCTGATCTCAGGTGATCCACTCACCTCAGCCTTCCAAAGTGTTGGATTACAGGCATGAGCCATGCGCCCAGCCTGCTTCCCTCTCTTTCTCTGACCTGCAGCACAGATACCCTGTTGGGGGAGGTGGGCTTGTGGAGGCATGGGCACCTTGACCTTCACCTGAAATCTTTTCCACAGGTCCTGAGGCACGTGAATGGCCAGGATCAGATCGTGCCTGGCCTGTACGCCTGTGGGGAGGCCGCCTGCGCCTCAGTCCATGGTGCCAACCGTCTCGGGGCAAACTCGCTCTTGGACCTGGTTGTCTTTGGCCGGGCCTGTGCCCTGAGCATCGAAGAGTCATGCAGGCCTGGTGAGTGTTTTCTTCAGAAGCCAGACCATTTGAGAAGGCAGGAGGTTACAAAGTTATGAAGTCTTTTTTTCTTTTTTTTTGAGACAGGGTCAGCCCAGGCTGGAGTGCAGTGGCACAGTCATGGCAGCCTCAGCCTCCTGGGCTCAAGCAGTCCTTAACACCCCAACCTTCAGAGTCCCAAGTAGCTGGAACTACAGGTGTGCACCCCCACACCTGGCTACTTTTTTATTTTTTTTTTTGCAGAGACAGGGTCTCACAATGTTGCCCAGGCTGATCTGGAACTCCTAGACTGAAACAGTCCTTCTCTCTCAGCTTCCCAGAGTGTTGGGATTACAGGCATGAGCCCCCACCCCCAGCCAGGTTACAAAGCCTTGATTTCTTCCTGGAAATTTGCTTAGTGATCATATAGTGGTCGTCTGGGTTTTTTCCCCTAGAAGTGATGATACTGAGAAATCTAGAGATTGTCTGGTGGTAATGTTGACACCAGATAGAGGCTGGTTGGGGATCTTAACTATTAAGGTGACATTTTTGGGGTTACATTTTTAAAAAAATTATTTTGCAGTCATTATGTTCTGCTTAGAAAAAGCACTATTAGGAAATTGCTATTTTTAGGGGAAGTTCATTACATGTTACTTGCTTGATAAAAAGCACTTGTTTGCAATGAAATATTTTAAGTAGTTGGCATGAATGAATATGTAACTTCTTGGTACTTAGAAAAATAATTTAGGCCCTTCTAAAAACAAAGTGCAACTAATCTCATTAGAAGAGAAGGGATGACTTAAAGCGAACCGGATTCTCCCCTCCGGTGACAGTGGATTTCACTTGGTGGTTTTCTTTTCATGATAGCACAGAGTAGTGTGCAGGAGAAGAAATACCATGTGCTGCAGTGTGGGTCTTACGTGCACTAAAAACTGGACACTTAGCCTCGCTCCCACTTCAGAGATCTTCATGGTGGTCATCCAGCCTCGTTTCCTCAGAACACTGTGAGGTGGAGGAGGCACTGGTAGAACTGGTGCTGTTTGTATGGATTCAAGCAAAGTAAAAACGAGCACTGTCGTAACTTACAAACATGTGCCCCCTTTTGTATCTGTGGTTAAAAAGGTACAGGTAGTATTAAAAGGGTAGCTTACATTTCACACACTCAGTCTCTGTGGATTTGACCACAGCTCAGGAGGCTGGCACGTGCAGAGGTGGCGTCTTGTCCCAGGTCGTTGCTGATCATTGGCAAAGGCAGAGTTCAGGTCCATCCTTCCTGACGCCACAGGTAGTGTTTGTCTCACTCCATAGCCCTGCACTTTGCAGCAGTGAGGACTGATACCACTTCTCTCCCAGCAATATAGAAAGTTTGAGCTTCTCTTTCTTTGAAAATGCAAAAAAGAACATTTTATAAGAATATCCCATACTTTACATCTGAAAAACCGCTCATGCATGCAGCACTCACGCAGAATGTTGTGGAGTCAGACTCAAAACGCTGCACACCTGAGGCTCTGTTGATACAGCATTCTGGAAAAGGCACATCCAGGGAAGAAGAGGGGTCAGGGGTTGCCAGAGGCTGTTTCCTGATTGTGCTCATAGTTAATACACAGCTCTGTGTGTGTCAGCATTTGAAAAATACTACACTAAAAATGGCGAGTTTTTTTTTTTTACTGTATCTTAATTATGCTTTAATTTTTAAAAATGGAAAAGAAAGAAAAAGGGTTTGTAGCATCACTACTTCTCCCCCACTCCCTTCAAAAAACAAATACATAGATATGTGTTTTTAGAGATAGTCTCCCTCTGTCGCCCAGGCTGGAGTGCAGTGGTATGATCAGGTGCACGCCACCACACCTGGCTAATTTTTAAACATTTTTTGTAGGGACAGGGTCTCCCTGTGTTACCCCGGATGGTCTTGAACTCTTGGCCTCAGGTGATGCACCTGCATCAGCTTCCCAGAGTGCTGGGATTACATGTATAAGCCACTGCACTTGGGCAAGATGTGCAACTCTTGTGTTTCTAAGATGTCTTGAAAAAAGTTTTAAGTTTTTTGTATAACTTTATGCATATTTTCTTCAATAGTTAGTACATGCAGGAGGTAGGAGGTATGAAATGCAGGGGACACACAGGTCATGCTGCCCACTGCCTCTCCAAAGGACCGCGAGGGGCCTCCTGAGGGTCTGCTCACATGCTTCTAGGCTTGCTTCTGTTTCTTTTCCTTTTGTTTATTGCTTTAAAAATTGATCATTCAGTAAAATTGACTTTTTTCTTTTGGTGCACAGTTCTATAATTTCTTTGTTTATTTTTTTGAGATAGTGTCTCCTCTACCTGTCACCCAGCCTGGAGTGCAATGGTGTGATCAGGAGTTTGAGACCAGCCTGGCCAACATGGGGAAGCCCCATCTCTACTAAAAACAGAAAAATTAGCCAGACATGGTGAAACACTCTAGTAGTCCCAGCTACTTGGGAGGCTGAGGCAGGAGGATCACTTGAACTAGGAGGTGGAGGTTGCAGGGAGCCGAGATGGTGCCGCTGCACTCCAGACTGGGCTACAAAGAAATTCCATCTCAAAAAAAAAAGTTGCAAATCTTGAAGTCTAGGTGAGAGCACACACAAGAATTTGAATCAGCAAGTGACTTTCAAGCACACAGCGGCCACCTTCCTCCCCTGATGCAAAGGATGGTGGGGTGGCCAGCCCCTCGGGATTACCATCTGGAGGTGTCTTTTTTCCCTTAGTGGAGTATATAAATTTGTATACATTTAATTTTTTTTTTTTTTAAAGACAGAGTCTCACTCTGTTGCCCAGGCTGGAGTGCAGTGGTGTAGTCTCAGCTCACTGCAACCTCCACCTTCCGGGTTCAAGCAGTTCTCATGCCTCAGTCTCCCAAGTAGCTGGGTTTACAGGTGCACACCACCATACCTGTCTAATTTTTGTATTTTTAGTAGAAACAAAGTTTTGCCATGTTGGCCAGGTTGGTCTCAAATGCCTGACCTCAAGTGATCCATCCACCATCTCGGCCTCCTGAAGTGCTGGGATTACAGGTGTGACACACCCTGCCCCGGCTACATTTAATTTTTTAATTTTAGAGGTGATGTCTAGCTTGTTCACTCCAAGATCTCATAATGGCTTTCTACTGTGTGTCAACAATGTTTGCCTTTCTGTATGTTCTTTAAAATTGGCCCCAGCTCAGTAGATGGCCTCAGTTGTGGGGTTGCTGGCCGTGTGTTAGCTCAGTAGACGGCCTCAGTTGTGGGGTTGCTGGCAGTGTGTTAGCTCAGTAGATGGCCTCAGTTGTGGGGTTGCTGGCCGTGTGTTAGCTCAGTAGACGGCCTCAGTTGTGGGGTTGCTGGCCGTGTGTTAGCTCAGTAGACGGCCTCAGTTGTGGGGTTGCTGGCCGTGTGTTAGCTCAGTAGACGGCCTCAGTTGTAGGGTTGCTGGCCGTGTGTTAGCTCAGGGGCTGCCTGCACTGTCCAGGCACCTCGAGTGGCTGTGCCACGTATTTGTGTGTCATTCTCAATCCATTAGGGTTTTTAAAGTGGTTTTCAAAAGTTAAATTCTAGCTTTTTTTAATTTTTTTTTTTTTAGGAGATAAAGTCCCTCCAATTAAACCAAATGCTGGGGAAGAATCTGTCATGAATCTTGACAAATTGAGATTTGCTGACGGAAGCATAAGAACATCGGAACTACGACTCAGCATGCAGAAGGTAAGAGCCTGGCTCACTCTGGAGCAAACAGGCTGTGTGCCTGGCCCTGCACTGCTGGGTTTTCTGTGTGTTTTTATTTTAATAGATTTAGGGGTACAGGTGCAGTTTTGTGTGGATGTACTGTGGTGGAGTATGGGCTTGCTTTTTATTTATTTATTTATTTATTTATTTATTTATTTATTTATTTTGAGACAGAGTTTCATTCTTGTTGCCCAGGCTGAAGTGTGATGGCGCGATCTCAGCTCACTACAACCTCCACCTCCCAGGTTCAAGTGATCTCCTGCCTCGGCCTCACAAGTAGCTGGGGTTACAGGCAGCTGCCACCATGCCCAGCTAATTTTTTATATTTTTAGTAGAGACTGGGTTTCACCATATTGGCCAGCTGGTCTCTAACTCCCGACCTCAGGTGATCCACCTGCCTTGGCTTCCCAAAGTGCTGGAATTACAGGCATGGGCCACTGTACCCCGCTGAGTCTGGGCTTTTCGTGTCCCCATCCCCCAAGTTGTATATGTTGTACCCAGTAGGTAATTGCTCATCCCCACCCCTCCCGCTTTTTGGAGCCCCGAGTCTCTATTAGTCTACCCATATGTCCATGTATACTCACAGTTCAGCTCCCACTTCCAAGTCAGAATGTGCAACAGTTGACCTTCAGAGTTATTTCACTTAGGGTAATGACCTCCTGTTCCATCCAGGTGGCTGGGAAAGACACGATCTAGTTCTTTTTTATGTCTGAGTAGTATTCCACGGTGCATATGTGCCCATCATCTGTTAATGGGCACGTAGGTGGATTGCTGTTGTGATTGGTGCTGTGATGAACGTACCAGGCTGCACCAGTATCTGGAGGAAAACGGCAGTAGGACATACTCCTTACTGTGTCAAGAATATGAAAGAAATCCCAGCACTTTGGGAGGCTGAGGCGGGCGAATCTTGAGGTCAGGAGTTTGAGACCAGCCTGACCTACAAGTGGAAACCCCCCTCTACTAAAAATGCAAAAATTAGCCTGGTCTGGTGGGCACCTGTAATCCCAGCTACTCAGAAAGCCAAAGCAGGAGAATCGCTTGAACTCAAAAAGTGGAGGTTGCAGTGAGCTGAGATGGCGCCACTGTACTCCAGCATGGGTGACAGAGCAAGACTCCTTCTCAAAAAAAGAAATATGAAAGACATCAGCATCCAGGACAGCCTTCTCTGGTTCACTCGAATGTGCCTGGGCATGGCCTCTGTGCTCTGACCATCACTGGCTGTCGTGGATGAGTCACAGTGTGGAGGAGATGGAGCCGCAGGGCGCCTGAGAAGCTCAGTCCCCAGCAGAGCACACAACACTGGTGCTTACATCTCAGGCCAGATAGTGACCATGTCATCACACCTGGCTTCCAGCAGCTCGGAAATGTCTTTAAGCTGGGCCTGTTGCTGCCCCTAAATATACTCAGAAGAGGGGGAGAGTGGGCCGTGGGTGGAAACTGATCTCTGCAGCCTGTGCTTCTGGGAGTCAGCCTCCCACATCAGGACTGTCCAATAGGACTGCCCGTGATGGCAGAAATGTTCCAAGTCTTTGCCGTCCAGTATGGCAACCACTAGCCACGGGAGGGCTATGGAGAACTTGGTATATAGTCAGTCTAAGAAACAGTTCCTGGCTGGCGTGGTGGCTCACGCCTGTAATCCAAGCACTTTGGAGGCCAAGGCGGGCAGATCACCTGAGGTCGGGAGTTCAAGACCAGCCTGACCAACATGGTGAAACCCCGTCTTTAAATTAAAAAAATAAAAAAGAAACTGAGTTCCTCTAATAACAAGGATTCTTGTTCATGAATGAGGTCTCTTGTTTACTATTAGCAAGAATTTCCGTGAATATTTGTAAAAAGTCCATGCTTTTGTCCTATTCCAAAGGCATTTGGTGTTGCAGACACAGACACAAGAGCAAAGGTTCCTGCTGACATTGTCAGAGGCCTGTGCACTTCATTCTTCAAGTGAGGCTGGGCTTGAGAGAGGCTTTGTGGAATGCTGAGAACAGCATGACTAAGGCCCAGAAGGCTGAGGGATATCCTGCAGGACTTTTGTAGGGCTGGAGGCCAGGTAGGAAACAAGGAGTCATCGCACTAGAGAATGGGAAGGTGCCACTTTTGTAGGGTTGGAGGCCAGCTAGGAAAGAAGGAGTCATCGCATTAGAGAATGGGAAGGTGCCACTTTTGTAGGGTTGGAGGCCAGCTAGGAAAGAAGGAATCATTGCACTAGAGAATGGGAAGGTGCCTTAGGATGTAGAAATGGCAAATTCATGAGATATTTTGAAGTGAGAATACTAGAAGCATTCCCACCAAACAAGGTGTGTCTGTATGCTAGGCTCTGTGAGATGCTGGAGTCAGCACTGAACAAACAGAAGTTCCCATGCTCGTGGAAAATGCATTTCATTGGAGGAATTTTTGTGCTGACTCTGGCTATTAATAGTAAGAATTAAAAACATGAGGTAAATATTGAAAAGGAATAGATATAATTGCTATTATTTACAGACACAATTTCCAAAAAGTTCCCAGAGAATAAATTGAAAAACTAATAGAAACAAAAGAAGGATGTAGGTAGGTGTCTGGATGAAAGGTTTGTAGCTAAACCTCAGTAGCTTTTCAATGTGCCAGCAGGAATCCGCTCAGACGTCAGTAAATATCTCATTCACCTTTCAGACAAAAAACAAAAAATGCCTTGAATAAATATAACCAGAAATACGTAAAACAGATATGAAACATCCTGCTAAAGTGTGTTTAAGAATGTGATACTTACTGCCTTCTAAGATGCAAGTGTTGCGTTTGTTCTTCCTGAAGAACCATTAGGTTGATGTGCATTACCGTGTTACAGTTATGTGTCAGTCTAAGGGAAATCAGATTCAACCATGAAGCTGCATTTGCAGAGGAAGAGACAATTAGGGTCAGAGGAACAAAGCAGAGTTAGAGGGAGAAGCGAGGAGGAGGAGGAGGAGGGATCAGGGAAGTGGTGCCCCTCCGTCCCACAGGAAGCAAACGCTGACACCTAGTTCCCAGCATACCTACAAAAAACTTCAGATCTGCCTACAAACATTTCATCCAGCCACGTACCTACACCCTTATTTTGTTTCTCTTAGTTCCTCATCACTGTAAAACTGTGATGGACCCCAGTGTACGAGGAGCCTTTGCAAAACAGGCCGAAGACAGTAGCTAGATGGGCCAAGGGTCCCAGCCACCCACGCCCTCCCTCTCCTTGAAGACCTTTGGCTCCTACACCACCATCATCAGCACCCTGCTCAGCTCCTAGTGTGTATCACCACACATTCACCACCAGACCCCACGTCAGGAGTCCCATCTGGTCCCGTGTCCACCAGGGGTGTGGGAGGGGGTGCTGGCTGGCTGGCCGCAGAGCCATATGGAACATGGCACCTCACAGGCAGTCTGTGGCTGTATCCCGCTGGAAAGCATGCATGTGGGTCTAAGACGTGTAGTTAATAGAAACATTTTCAGAAGCGTTAGTCAGAACTTCATTTTTAAGTTCAGAGTAATGAACTCATAGTCTGAGTTTCCTCATTGTTCTTTTAATTTACATAACTTTTAAATAAAATGAAATGCAAAACAACAGGTCTCAAAGTTAAGCAGTTCTTGGTATGGCTGCTTCTATGGATTAAAAGTTTACAAACGCTATTTTGTGCCACAGTCAATGCAAAATCATGCTGCCGTGTTCCGTGTGGGAAGTGTGCTGCAAGAAGGTTGCGAGAAAATCAGCAAGCTCTACGGAGACCTGAAGCACCTGAAGACGTTTGACAGGGGTGAGCAGACAGCAGGCTCCGTGCACACCACTGTGAAAGGCCATGCCTTTCGCAGGTGGGCTAGTGTCTATCCGGCCAGTGCTGACTTAGCGCCATGCTCCCTGTCTGGATGGGTCCTGGCCCACAGCTATAAAGCCACCACCAGGAAAGGCTCTGGGACTAGCAGGTACGGGCTGACAGCTCGGAGGGCCCATGTGACTGCCCCTGATGGATCCTCATGTGTCCCCAGGAATGGTCTGGAACACGGACCTGGTGGAGACCCTGGAGCTGCAGAACCTGATGCTGTGTGCGCTGCAGACCATCTACGGAGCAGAGGCGCGGAAGGAGTCGCGGGGCGCGCACGCCAGAGAAGACTACAAGGTGCGCCTTCTGGCCACACCCACCTGCACCTGCCGCTTTCTCCCATCTTGTGTGACTCAACCCCACCCCTGCATTTTCTCTGCATTTCATTCCATTTCCCCAAAAGTAAATCCAGAAAGTGCCTTTTCCCCCTGGTTCTCGCCGTCTTCTGCAACACTGACCTTTGCTTTGCCTTGGGTCAGTGGCCACTGATGCCAGCAGTGGCATCTCCAAGCCAAAGTGCTCTGCAGTTAGAGGGCCAAGGTTAGCAGTGCAGCCGGAGTAGCATGGCCAGGAAATGCTAGTTTCTTAAAGAATGAGTCAGTCATCCTTTCAGACCTGCCCTGGGGTCTGGGAAAGGTCTTATAGCTCCTGCACTTGGGTGACCCGCCCTGGGGTCTGGGAAAGGTGTTGTAGCTCCTGCACTTGGGTGACCTGCCCTGGGGTCTGGGAAAGGTCTTATAGCTCCTGCACTTTCGTGACCTGCCCTGGGGTCTGGGAAAGGTCTTATAGCTCCTGCACTTGGGTGACCTGCCCTGGGGTCTGGGAAAGGTGTTATAGCTCCTGCACTTTGGTGACCTGCCCTGGGGTCTGGGAAAGGTGTTATAGCTCCTGCACTTGGGTGACCTGCCCTGGGGTCTGGGAAAGAACACAGTGAATGGGAAAATGACTTGTGTTTACTGTGAAATGGTACTGATGTAGCCTCCACTAGAATATGCTGATGGCTGTAGTCCCTGCTCAGAACTTGTTCTTCCTCCTTGTACAGTGTAAGAGTCTTTCCTGCAAAGTACATGAATCCGTGTTTGCCAGAATACAGATAGTAGCATACATTTATTATTATTATTATTTTTGAGATGAAGTAGTCTCGCTCTGTCACCTAGGCTGGAGTGCAGTGGTGCGATCTTGGCTCACTACAACTTCCACCTCCCAGGTTCAAGCGATTCTCCTGCCTCAGCCTCCTGAGTAGCTAGGACTACAGGTGCACACCATCACACCTGGCTAATTTTTGTATTTTTAGTAGAGACAGGGTTTCACCATGTTGTCCAGGAACCACTCACCTTGGCTTCCCAAAGTGCTAGGATTATAGGCGTGAGCCACTGTGCCCTGCCAGTAGCATAAATTTAGTGGATCACAGCAAGTTTCAATTAGAATATAAGCCAGGCACAGTGGCTCACACCTATAATCCCAGCATTTGGGAGGCTGAGGCAGGCAGATCACTTGAGCCCCAGAGTTCTAGACCAGCTTGGGCAACATGGCAAAACCTGTCTCTAAAAAAAAAGAATAAAAAATTACCAGCTGCTCAGGAGGCTGAGGCAGGATGAGTGATTGAGCTGGGAAGTCAAGGCTCCAGTGAGCTGTGATATCACCACTGCACTCCAGCCCACGTGACATAGCGAGATCCTGTCTCAAAAGAAAGAATTTTTTTAAAAATAGAAACATGCTGAAAGAAAAGATTGAGGTGGTCACCCAGAGCATGGGGTAAAAAGACAAAGTATCTGATAAACTCTTAGGTACATGAAGGATGTCTAGGGAAAATGCAGGCATGGATTACCCTGGACTCACTGCTGGCTGCACCGCTGACCAGCTATGTGGCCTCAGTGGATTCTGAGCATGTTGATGGTGCCAGCCTCCTGGGCTGAAGTGAAAATGGAATGAGTTCTAGGCCATGTGTCTCTTACGTCATTTTAATGTTTGCTGTGTTTTTCTGTATTGCTCTGTTAGAGTAATAAGAAATGTGATGGTGTTTCTGGCCTCAGGTGCGGATTGATGAGTACGATTACTCCAAACCCATCCAGGGGCAACAGAAGAAGCCCTTTGAGGAGCACTGGAGGAAGCACACCCTGTCCTATGTGGACGTGGGCACTGGGAAGGTCAGTGTGGACTTTGTTCTCACCACAGCCCGACACCCACACGGCCCCACCCAGGTCTGCAGGCTGGCCTTGCTGATGGTGAATGGGGAGAAGCAGGCCAGATTTAAGCCAGCACTGACAGATGTGAGGCACCACTGAGAAAGCACTCTGTCAGTCAGGCTTCTGGCCAGAAACGGATCCAGTGCCTGTGAGTGGTTCAGAGGAGCCTTAGGAAGGGTTGCTCCGTGGTGTGGGCCAAATGGAAGTCACTGGACAGGAGCAAGTGTCCAAGGCCTGGTGGCAGGGGAGGAGACAATGATTGTAGACCTAGCAAGAAGTCAAGGTCTGGGGTGGGGACACTCAGCCACTACCAGAAACCTGTCCCAAGCCAAGGGAGCCCAGAAGAGACCACTCCCCTCTCTTCCCACAGGCTGGGCCACCTGGAAGCAGCAGCAGGGAAGCTGAGGGGTGCGGTGCAGCCCTTAGCCTCCCTTGGGCACTGAGCAAGCAGAGAAGGGCAGAAAGTGAGAAGCGGGTTGGGTGAGCAGCGTCCTGGTAACAGCCAGCCGAGGGTGTGCTGGAGGCTTGCAGCCCTGTTCCACGCAAGCGCAGTTCACCATGTGGCATTCCCACTGGGCATTAAGATTCAGAAATAATGAAGATGGAAAGCTTTTACCCTTAAGCTTTTCATAGCTTGTAAGAGATAGTTGTATAATCATTTACATGCGTCTGGCTGTTTCGTTTGGGCTCTCACTGTCATTTAGTATGCCTGTAATTCAGGCAATCGGTCATTTTCAGGATTTATCATGAAGGCCATTTTCTGATAGTATATAAAAATCACACTTCACTTGCTTAGCGAAAGTCTGTTTTTAACGTTTTGGGGTTTGGGTTTTTTTGTTTTGTTTTATTTCTGAGATAGAGTCTCACTCTGCTGCCCAGGCTGGAATGCAGTGGCTTGGTCTCATCTCACTGCAGCCTCAACCTCCCCCAGGCTCAAGTGATCCTCCTGCCTCAGCCTCCCAGGCACGTGCCACCATGCCTGGCTAATTTTTGTATGTTTTGTAGAGACACGGTTTCACCATGTTGCCCAGACTAGTTTTGAACTCCTGAGCTCATGATCCACCTGCCTTGGCCTCCCCAACAGGCATGAACCAACATGGCTGGCTAGTTTTGGTGATTTTTCAAGAAATACATACTCATTTTAGAAAGTACAAAGAGACTGAAATAAGAGCTCAGTAACAGAGAGGAGAGGGCCCATTATGGTTTTGAGTGTGTGTGTGTGTCTACCATTGACTCTGTGTGCATATTTAGTACACAGCTTGAGTGTTCCTATCTGAAATCCTTGGGGCCAGCAGTGTTTTGGATTTCCGGCTTGTTCAGACTTTGGAATATTTGCATTACACTTACTGTCTGATCATCCCTAATTGGAAGATCTGACTCCATGGTGCATTTCTTTTGAATGTCATATTGGTGCTCAGAAAGTTTCAAGTTTTGGAGAATTTCAGATTTTTGGATTAGGGATGTTCAACCTATATAAATATTTACTTTGAAGTAGAAAAACTGGAAGTAGATAGCTTGAACATAAAGTGTTTTGGTATATACGAGGGTTCTCCCACTTTTCATGATGGGAGCATTTTTGTACAGCACTGAGACTCTTGCACAGTGTCATTTTCGGGGCTGTGTTCCACCCTGCAGACTTGTCCTTATTGACACGGTCCCCCGTCGTGCATGACAGTGTCATTTTCGGGGCTGTGTTCCACCCTGCAGACTTGTCCTTATTGACACGGTCCCCCGTCGTGCATGACAGTGTCATTTTCGTGGCTGTGTTTCACTCTGCGGATTTACCCTCATTGACACGGTCCCCCGTCGTGCATGACAGTGTCATTTTCGGGGCTGTGTTCCACTCTGCGGATTTACCCTCATTGACAGAGTCCCCCGTCGTGCATGACAGTGTCATTTTCGGGGCTGTGTTCCACTCTGCGGATTTACCCTCATTGACAGAGTCCCCCGTCGTGCATGACAGTGTCATTTTCGTGTCTGTGTTTCACTCTGCGGATTTACCCTCGTTGACACGGTCCCCCGTCCTGCATGTGGATCGTTTTTGAATTTGTTATTGAAAAGTACTGCAGCACATACCTCTAAGTTCCCATGCCATAAATCTATTTTTTTTTCTTTTTTTTTTTTTTGAGACCGAGTTTTGCTCTTATGCCCAGGCTGGAGTGCAGTGGCATAATCTGGACTCACCGCAACCTCCACGTCCCGGTTTCAAGCAGTTCTCCTGCCTCAGCCTCTCAGGTTGCTGGGATTACAGGCATGAGCCACCATGCCCAGCTAATTTTGTATTTTTAGTAGAGATGGGGTTTCTTCATATTGATCAGGCTGATCTCAAACTCCTGACCTCAGGTGATCCGCCCGCCTCGGCCTCCAAAGTGCTTGGATTACAGGCATGAGCCACCACGCCCGGCCTTATAGTTAAAAATTTTCAAAAGGAACACAAGAGATGGCTATTTGTACATTTTTGTGCTTAACTTACCGCTGACCCTTCTTTTCAAGGTCACTTTGGAATATAGACCTGTAATCGACAAAACTTTGAACGAGGCTGACTGCACCTCCGTTCCCCCGGCCATTCGCTCCTACTGATGAGACAAGATGCGGTGATGACAGAAGCAGCCTTTGTAATTATGTATCATAGCTCATGCATGTGTTCATGTCGTAACTGTCTTTATAAGCTTCTGCACTGGGGTGAAGAGGGAGTCCATTGAAGGGAGATGGGCACCCAGTGGCCGGGAGCCGGCCAGGGACCGCAGCACTTACCTTTGTCCCTCCCTTCATTCTTGTGAGACCATAAAACTGGACACAGCCCTAAAATAAAACATAGATGAACAAACTTTCTTTTATTTCCACATCCACTTAAAATATTTTACCGTCATGACTTTAGTCATATTTGTTGACCTAAAATATCAAATGGAATTATCTTTGCATTCTGTTACATCAAAATCCAGAGATTTTGTTGCAGTTTCTTCTTTCTTCTTCTTCTTCTTCCTTTTTTTGAGACAGGATCAGTGCAGTGGTGCAATCTCAGCTCGCTGCAGCCTCAGACTCCTGGGAGGCTCAGGTGATCCTCCCAGCCCAGCCTCCTGAGCAGTTGGGGCTATAGGTGTGCACCACCATGCCCAGCCAGTTTATTTTTTAATTGTAGAAACGGTCTCACCATGTTGCCTAGCCTGGTCTCAAACTCCTGGGTTCAAGTGATCCTCCATCCTTGGCCTCCCAAAGTGCTGGAATGATAGGTGTGAACCACCATGCCTGGACTTGATGTTGTTTATTTGTAAGTTCAAATTGACGTTGGTGCCTGAGAGCAGATGGAGAAAATGAACATTTCCTCCTTTTTCTTGACAGACGGTTTACTAGGTAAGCGTGTCCTCGATTATTTAAATCAGGGCTCCCCAGTCCCTAGGCCACAGATTGTTACCAGCCCGTGGCCTGTTAGGAACCAGAACACACAGCAGGAGGTGAGCAGCAGGTCAGTGAGCCTGACTATGTGAGCTCCGCCCTGTCAGATCAGCGGTGGCATTAGATTCTCCTGGGAGCACAAACCCTACTGTGAACTGCACATTCGAGGGATCTGGGTTATGCGAGTCTAATGCCGATGATCTGAGGTGGAACCGTTTCGTCCCCAAACCATCCCCCATCCCCACACTTGTCCCTGGAAAAAGTGTCTTCCATGAAACCAGTCCCTGGTGCCAGAAAGGTTAGGGACCACTGGTCTAAGTCACCAAATACTAAAGGAACTGAAGTAGAAGTAAATGGGCTGCTGCTTTATTTTTGGGCTGTTCTATTTATAGAACAATGACAGGTACTTCCAAGTTTGTCATTAGAAAATAATTTTAAGTTGGTGCAAAAGTAATTGCGGTTTTTGCCATTACTTTCAATGGTAAAAGCCACAATTACTTTTGCACTAACTTAATATTATAAATTTGTTCCTTAAAGTGTATTTTTGGTAAGGAAAACTTTTTTTTTTTTTTTTTTTTGAGCTGTAGTCTTGCTCTATTGCCCAGGCTGGAGTGCAATGTTCCAATCTCAGCTCATTGCAACCTCCACCTCCTGGGTTCAAGCAATTCTCCTGTCTCAGCCTCCTGAGTAGCTGAGATTACAGGCATGTGCCACCGTGCCCAGCTAATTTTTTTTTTCTTTATCCAGTCTCAGGTAGTCTGTTGTAGCACCAGCTAATTTTTAATATATTTTATTAGTAGAGACCATGTTGGTCAGGCTAGTCTCTAACTCCTGACCTCGTGATCTGCCCGTCTAGGCCTCCCAAAGTGCTGGGATTGCAGGCATGAGCCACCATGCCAGGCCCAAGAAAAACCTTTTTTTCTTCTATTAATTTTTTTTTCTTGGTAGAGATGGGTTCTTGCCATGCTGCCCAGGCTGGAGAGCAGTGCTGTGATCTCAGCTCACTGCAACCTCCACCTCCTGGGCTCCAGCAGTCCTCCCACGGAGCTGAGACTACAGGCATGAGCCACCATGCCTGGCTAATTTTTATATGTTTTGTAGAGATGGGGTTTCACCATCTTGACCAGGCTGGTCTTAAACTCCTGGGCTCAAGCAGTCCTCCTTCAGCCTCCCAAAGTGTTGGGATTATAGGTGTGAGCCGCTGCCAGAAAACCTTTTCCTAAGACAAGGCAGGTTTTACATTATATTTAGCTCTTTTTTTGTGTGTGTTTTGAATGAAGTCTTTTTTCGCAGTGCACAGCTGAGAACCCCTCACCACAGAAGACAGGAAAGTTGTGCTGTGCCCACGTGATGGGCACTCCTCAGCACTGGGAAGGAATGCACTATTGGCACACACAGCAGCTTGGATCAATCTGAAAGTCACTACACTGAGTTAGAGAAGCCAAATAAAAAGAGTATAGGCTGTGTGACTCCACGTGCACAGTGTCGACACGGTTCCCTGCAGAGTGGCAGGAGCAGATTCCAAAGGCACAGGAAGAAGCTTGCGGGTAGAATGTGTTCAATCCCTTCTGCACATTATACCACAAAAAGAGCTGGTAATAAAAATGCTAACCAAAGAAAAAAGGCGAAACTAGGATAAAGTGTCTCACCCGTGTGACTGGTAAACAGGCAGGTTTGCTGTCAGGCTTCGTTTGTGAAGATGTAGGGTACAAGGACTCACACCGGTGTGGAGTGCAGAATGCTGCGGCCTCAGGGAAGAGGATTTGTCAGCATCTGACAGCTGCATGGCATTTGCTCTTTGACTTAACAATTCTAGGGATCTGTCTCTAAGACACTCTGGCGGAGAAATGAAAGCCTTCTCACGGCCTGAGTGTGTCTGACAAAGTTCTTCACCGTGGCATTGAAGAACCGGAATAATACTGGAAACAATACAAATGTCCGTCAGTCGGGGATTAGGAACATTAACTCCCACAGTGAGTAACTCAGTACAGGAAGAAGGAATGAGGAAGGCCTGAGGAGGGGCAGAGTACCTATGATATAATGCAAATATATATTTGCTTTTTCTTAAAACAGCAGAAAGATTAGTGTGGTTGCTGTAGGGGATGGGGTCTGTGGTGAAGAAAAACTGAAATCGATTCTGAAGTAATACTTTGGACTTTGAAATTGTAAATGTTTTACTTACTACCAAACTAAGTTTTTAAGGTAGTCTCTAAAATTGAAAAAATGGAATCTGAAATAAATGAATCTAATGGCCTTGCATTGCATTCTACAAGGCATCAGCCCTGAGACCAAAATTTGGAAGGTGGCCCTGAGCAGCAGCTGAAGAGAATGGGAGGTGAGACAGGAAAGAGGAGGTGGCACAGGGCGTCTGGGAGCCGGGTCCCTCATGGGCAGCTGGGCCCGTGCTCACTGTGGGTGTTGGTGCGTTCTTTCACCAGCCCACGCTCCACAGGTTCAGGAGAGTCAATTCCGGGCACACTCCTGCCAGCAGAGAAAGCCCTAGGTAGCATCCCGGGTGCTGTGGCGTCAGAATCCAGTTTGAGTCTGAGGAGTGCCCTGGCACTGGCTGGGCCGGGCAGCACCACGGGTTTCTGCAGCCCAGCTGCACAGGAGGCTGCTGACAGTCACGCAGCCTGTGATTTCATCTCAGGACACAGCACTTCAAGTGTGCAAATTCAGTGAGCCACTGAAATCCTAAATTTGAATCCATCATCTCACTGTTACTTGTCTTATTGGTATTAACCCTTTGAACTTACGTGTGGTGGGAGTTGACGCTAATAACTAATTATGTTAATGCTAAAAGTAAGATTTTTCTGGCCAGGAGTGGTGGCTCATGCCTGTAATCCCAGCACTTTTGGGAGGCTGAGGCGGGCAGGTCACCTGAGGTCAGCAGTTTGAGACCGCCGTGGCCAACATGGTGAAACCCCTGTCTCTACTAAAAATACAAAAATTAGGCCAGGCGCAGTGGCTCACACCTGTAATCCCAGCACATTGGGAAGCCAAAGCAGTAGATCACCTGAGGTCAGGAGTTCAAGACCAGCCTGAGCAATATGGAGAAACTCTGTCTCTACTAAAAATACAAAATTAGCCAGGCATGGTAATCCCAGGAACTAGGGAAGCTAGGGCAGGAGAACTGCGTGAAACCAGAAGGCGGAGGTCGCAGCGGGCTGTTATCACGCCACTGCACTCCAGCCTGGGCAACAAGAGTGAGACTCCATCTCAATAAATAAATAAAGTATTTTTCTGCAAAAAAAGAGGTGTAAAACCATACACTAAATTTGAAACAAATATAAACTCCTTTGTTCTTTTCACATACACATTTCCTGGCTCTGCCCCCGTGGCAGCAGACACATCAAGCACCTAGACTGTGTTCTCTAATAACCCATGAATTCATGGTGATGGTTTCAAAGCCAGAACCAACCAAACAAAAGCATGTGATTGGTCACTCTTGAAGGTAACTAGGGCACTGACCCCTAACCCTGAGAATGGACACTTGAAGGAAGAGAAGCGTTATCCTGCCCTTTCTCTTCAAATCACAATCCAGGGAAACCTAGTTGATGAGGACATGTGGTTTATGGAAGAATTCCTGCAAGTGAGTAAAGAGTGGCAGTTAGAGAATGGTCAGATTGCAACCTCTAATGCCACAGTTCTCCAAGGTGTGTAACGGGACCATTTGGAGGGACCCTACCCCAGAACTTCCATCAGTCCTGGTTAGGCCTGAGAATTGGCATTTCTAACATGCCCAGGGACCACAGTTTGGAAACCTCTGTGGCAGACATGTAATGGGATGACACGGTCCGATAAACGGGGGAACAACAACAGGTGGAGACCCCCTGGCAACCTCAGGAAGCTTCATCCCAGCCAGTAAGAAAGTAAATCCCCAAGCCTTCTGAAAACTAAGAGTAGTATTAACACGGGTGTTTGAGCAAACATTTAAGTGTTAGGACAAAGAATTAAAAGCTGGCACAGGCTGCCGGGCATGGTGGCTCACGCCTGTAATCCCAGCACTTTGGGAGGTGGAGGTGGGCAGATCACCTGAAGTTGGGAGTTCAAGACCAACCTGACCGACATGGAGAAACCCCATCTCTACTAAAAATATAACATTAGCCTGACGTGGTGGTGCATACCTGTAATCCCAGCTACTCAGGAGGCTGAGGCAGGAGAATCACTTGAACCCAGGAAGCAGAGCCAAGATCGAGCCATTTCACTCCAGCCTGGGCAACAAGAACAAAATTTCATCTCAAGAAAAAAAAAATAGCACAGGCACCCCTGAAGTATGATAGGGTGGCAACGGAAGGGCCAATCGAATAACTGCTGGGCAGCTTCCTTGTGTGTATGTCTACTAAGGAATCAGAAACAAACCCTCAGACAGTTCTCATGAGTACTGAGACCAAGGAAGCCACTGGGCAGTGGGTGGTCTGAAAAGTAAATTTTTATAGTGCTCCACTAATTACTGAGTCATAGAACGATGTTTCATATTGAAAATGTTTTGTAAATGTGGGTTTCAAGGTTTCAAAATGAACCCATGCTTGTTCGGAGAAAGGACAAACCAAAGAAGTAAAATCATTGGGTTAATATAAAAAGAACGTAGAATGTTGCCCGGAGAGAAGGCGTGGATAATTCCTAACACGGATCAAAGGCAGGAAAAAGGTGAGCTGTGTCTGAGATACTCAGACCTGCACTGGGCTGTGCAGCTGCGGAACGGTGGCATCGCCGGGAAGTTCCATCGGCCAGCACTGATGTGGCCTTTGCCCACGCTCTCTCACACTGAACAGCACCTATCAGAGTGTCCACTACTCAGTGAAACGCCTGTGTGAAAAGCGGTATTTGGTAGAAGAGTAAAAAAGAGGGGGAGAAAAAGGGTAGGTCATTCTCTTCCATATTGAATTCTGGCAGAACAATGTTGGAAGGAACACGGGAGCCACAGGAGAAAGTAGTCCCAGGACAGAAGGGGGTGCCAGGCACGGTTGGCTCTGTCCCTGGAATTCCATGGCTGGAATCTGGAAAAAGGGAAAGTGACTGAAAAAGGAAAGATTCTGTGTGCAAATGTCACGATGCAGCGGTCAGTGATCCTGAGAAAATAACTGAACCCAGGTGGCTTCGGAGGGGGGCTGTTGGATGCATGTGCCAATGTAATGTGGACTTGTGTATGCTCGTTTACACAAAGGACAGATGGTCATCTGTTCATCAACAAACACTTGTCGAGGGCCTCTATGTGCTAAAGACATCAGATGCACAAGAGGGTGCTCTGTGGAAAGCCCCAGGAACACAAGCGCCCAGAAACGTTTAGAAAAATTATAAGGAGGCCGGGCACGGTGGCTCACGCATGTAATCCCAGCACTTTGGGTGGCCGAGGCGGGTGGATCATGAGGTCAGGAGTTTTAGACCAGCCTGGCCAATACGGTGAAACCTCATCTCTACTAAAAATACAAAAATTAGCTGGGTGTGTGGAGGGTGCCTGTAGTCCCAGCTGCTCAGAAGGCAGAGGCAGGAGAATTTCTTAAACCAGGGAGGCAGAGGTTGCAGTGAGCTGAGATCAAGCCACTGCGCCCCAGCCTGGGCAACAGAGAGAGACTCCTCTTTTTTTTTTTTGTTTGTTTTTCTTACCCTGATTTTACAACCAGAGACTAATAAAAATAAAAATAAAAAAATTCTAAGGGAAACAGAAAAGGCATTTTCAAATTAGCTCAGAGAAATTAGACCAAGGAAAGACTCACCCAGTATTTGGATACATTATGTGATTAACGTTAACACAGGGAGGAAAGTGATATCTTTCAGTTAATTTCTCAACTCCTGGAAAGCTTAGAACAGACCTGGTTAGGAGGAAATTGAATCCGGGGCAGGTGAGGAGATAGTGGTACCTCAGTGCTCCAGTGATTCAGTCTGCAGAACCAGGGCTGGGAGGTGAGCTTTTTGTTGGCAGATGGTGGTTTCCGCTGCAGCCTCGCCCCCTGGGGACAGGACTCAGGCAGAATCCCCCATCAGTGGCAGTACCCCCACCTTTGAGAATGTGGAGAGGACTTGGGGAAGAAAGTGTTGTCCCACACAGCACAGCCCAGGTGCCAACAGGATTCAGGGCTGGAGGCTCCTTACTGTAAGGCCGCTTGCCTCTCTGGGAGCTCCGACAGGCCCATCCTTCTCCCCACCTGAAAATTACATCACCAGAATACGCCCATCATCTAGCTGCGCCTTGGAAATCCCCTCTGCACTCAGCACTAAGCTCTGCACTCTGCACCTAGCCCACGCACCGGAAATCCCGCCTACCTACCAATAGCAGCTTGCCCTGTCCACATCGTGTTTCTCCACAGCCAATCAAATGCCTTCACTCCCTGTAAAACCCCATGCCTGAGATAAGTCAGGCGTGACTTCTCTGGCCTCTTTCCTCGGGATTGTAGAACCTCGCCCAGGAGTTGAATAACTTGGCATCTAATTGTTCTCATGCAGGCCTCAGTTTCCTCATTTTAAATTCGTCAATAAGCCTTACAGACAGTAACCCTTACACTTATGGTTGCTTGCGGAAAAGGCAGGGACTGCAGCTGCGGTTTGTGTATGTATCAGGCCAGTATTTCTTGTTCTAGACTCGCCCATTTGGACATTGACATGGGTGTGCATGCACGGTGTTTTTCTTTAAACGCTAATTTCATAGTAACTGACCTCCCTTTCAAGAGTCAGCCTTGCTGCCACTGAGAAGACATAGGAGAAGCACAAAAAGATCTGCCTGCTTGACTTCGGCAAGTTACCGTCTCTGAACTATGGTTTTCTTCAGTAAAATGCGGATATGGTGCCATGGCATGATGAGGACTAAACAGAGTAACATATTTAAATATTAGGGTGGACTCTAGCTGGTTGCATTCATCAAGTGTGTCCTCCCTTGAATGAATGCATTTTCCACCCCTAGAACTGAATGGAAAACGTAACTGAGACTCCTGGGTGACGGCTGTGGCACTCCAGGTTGGAGATGCCGCCAACAGTTGGTGGAGCTCAGCTACCTGTTGGGAGAGGGAGGCTGAGGCCTGCTGCAGTCACGGATGTTTCCTTTTTTAATTTTAAAATAGCCCAACCTAGTCTTGAAGTTCTGGCTTCAAGTGATCCTCCCACCTCAGCCTCCCAGCTGGGATTACAGATGTGAGCCACTGCATCCAGTGCTGAGCTATCTCTCACTGAGGGTTCCCTGTAAAAGGAACTTCCAAACTGGGTCACAAAAATCATAGTTGTTAGTATTTTCAGAGTGCTGGAGAACAAAAAAGAAGCCAGTGATGGGAGGGAGAATAAAGATGGACTTTGGAAACTACAGATTAAAGAGCTGTGGAAGATTCTAGGAAGGATTCTTCAACAAGTAATATGAATACTTTGTCAATGAAAAGAGTGAAACTCTAAAATATTTGAAGAGATTTATTCTGAGCCAAATAGAGTGACCGTGCCTGTGACACAACCCTCAGGAGGTGGTCAGGGTGCAACGTGGTTTTACGCATTTTAGAGGGTCATGAGACATCAATCAAATCTATTTAAGATACACATTGGTTCATTCCAGAAAGGCGGGACAACTCCAAGTGGGAGCTTCTGGATTATAGGTAGATTTTAAAATGTTCTGGTTGACAATTGGTTGAGAGTTATTCCCAACAGAAAGGAATGTCTGGGTTATGACAGGAGGCTGTGTTTTATGATGCAAATGAAGCCTTGGGGTAGCAAGCTTCAGACAGAAGAGATTGTATTTATCATCAGACTTAGGGTCTGTGTTGGCTTTCCTGGAATTCCAAAAGGGAGGAGGGCACAGGGAGGCATGTCCAACACCCGCTTCATGTCATGACCTGAACCAGGTTTTCAGGTAACTTTGTAGGGCCATCGGGGCTCCAAAGGGTCGTGGGGTGTCCCTTATGCTGTGCTGAGGTGCAGGATCCGAGAAATAAAGAGACAGGACACTGAAGAACTGGTGAAGAGCATCTGGACTCAGGGGACCACGCCACCTGTGAACGGAGATCAGCGAGGGCCCCCCAATACCCTGAAGCATCTGTATTTATTAGGTAGAATTAGGGGGTAGGGTCGTAGTGAGGTCGTTTATAGGCTCAGTAATATGGCATACATAATCACATGAGTCACAAGCAAGGGGGCCACCCCATTATGTCACTTGGGCAGAGAGGTGGGCCATGCGCAGCAGGGGGGCTCTCCCATGCACAGTAGAGGGTCATGTACAGAAAAGGGGTCCACCCCCATTAGGTCACTGAGGCAAGGAGATGGGCTGTGTGCAGCAGGTGTCATGCGCAACAATTCTTATCTGGGGGCTGGAGACTTCAAAGGATTTCTAATAGAAGGATACTGTAAGCCAATGCAGTGGGACTGACAGACTTGTGCTCTTCTGTTAAGATATTTATGGGAGAATGATTTGAGCTAGCACAGAAGCGAGAAAAGACTGACAGGGTGAACAGCCACTGTGACTGGTCACACCAGAGGGGTTCTTCTCCCTCGGTTACTTCCAGGATCTCAGGCCTGAGGCCGACTTTCCACAGGAACTGGATGCAGGTGCTACAACTCCTTTATCAGGAGGAGAGGCTCTTGCTCCAAGCCTGCCACACAGCATATGCCCTTTCAGGCAGGGACGCCACCGCCGGGGTCTTTGGTTCTCGTCCTGGTCTGGCTGTTTTCCCATGTACTGCTTCTGTTCTGTGACTACTCTAGGCATTCCTCCTACTACAAACTACTATTTGGTTATATAGAAGGATTATATAAATCAGCACTAAATGTGTCAGTACAGCTCCGACTACGATACCTGTATGATTATATAGAAAGATTATATGGAACTAAGTATGCTAGATGTAAGTATTAAGTATGGTTATATGAGCTGGAGATATGTAAGCAGTAAGTTATACTTCAGGCACTAATTCTATAAACTAAAATATGATTATATATAAAGGATTATATAAAGGAAATAGCTGAGTAATAACACTATAAGATATTCAGGCACTAATTGTGCCTGGCGTCTGGACAGTTCTCCTTCCACGGTACCCCTGGGGGGTGTTACCCACAACTTTGGAGTGCCCTGACCCAGAGGAGGGGTCCATTCCAATGGGTGGGACCTTAGAATTTTATTTATTTATTTATTCATTTTGAGATGGAGTTTCACTCTTGTTGCCCAAGCAGGAGTGCAGTGGCGCGATCTCAGCTCACCACAACCTCTGCCTCCTGGTTCAAGCGATTCTGCCTCAGCCTCCCCAGTAGCTGGGATTACAGGCATGTGCCACCAAGCCCAGCTAATTTTTTATTTTTAATAGAGACAGGGTTTCTCCATGTTGGTCAGGCTGGTCTTGAACTTCCGACTGCAGGTGATCTGCTTGCCTCCGCCTCCCAAAGTTCTGGGATTACAGGCGTGAGCCATCACACTGGCCAAGAATTTTATTTTTGGTTTACAAGTCTATGAAGAGAACACTAGGAACCACTTGAATTACATCTTGAAAAAAAATTTACATTGTAGAAGAGGTTTGTAGATTAACACAGGTGAATGCCAAAGCCACAGAATATCTAAATTTCTTCGAGGAATTTGAAAGAACCCTCAGGCATATGCCTTGTGGACAAGAGAGACAGAAAAATGGGACAGAGGATGAGACAGCGGGGAGAATGGATAGCTGATCAGATCTATAGCTGTGCCCGGAGCGCTGAATAATGGATTCGCGTCCACAGGGAAGAAAGTCTCAGGTGCCACTGATAAGACACTGGTCCTTGGCTCTGGGTCCATTCAACATCTGGGTGGGCAACTGGGTGAAAATTCAGAGAAAACCTTAGGAACTCTGAGGATGAAAAAAGTTAGCGTTCATGGAAGGAGGCACTGAAGAACATAAAAAACTGGAATAACGCTATGAAATAATGACAATAATTGTAGTATCCTGAACAGGGACACAGGACACGGGACTGAGATGGAACGCGCGCCGAGAGCGCGCGCGGGCGCACGGGAAAGACCCGGGGATCGCAGTTGCCCGACCGAAGCCGGCACTTCCCAATTCCGGGGATTTGTAGGTTTCGGCTACAAGCACTCCGGGCTCCACTGTAGAACTGCGCCCAGCACCAAGGCAGTGCTCCTCCCTCTCAGGAGGGAGGCTGGGCTGCGCGACCACCAGAAGGGCCCGGCCGGGGGGCGCCGAGTGTTTCCAGCTGCACGGGGGCGGGGGCCGCGCTGCTGCCCCGCGCGGGGCACAGGTTAAACCCAGAGGGAAGCTTTCGAGGACGGAAGAGACGACGGAGAACGCCGCACACTGTGCTTCTCACCTGAATTGTGTTTTGCTTTTTTTTTTTTTGAGATGGAGTTTCGCTGTCGTTGCCCAGGCTGGAGTACAATGGCGCGATCTCGGCTCACTGCAGCCTCCGCCTCAGTCTCCAGAGTAGCTGGGATTACGGGCTTGCTCTAATTTTGTATTTTTAGCAGAGACAGGGGTGTCTCCATGTTGGTCAGGCTGGTCTCGAACATCCCACCTCAGGTGATCCGCCCGCCTCAGCCTCCCAAAGTGCTGAGATTACAGGCGTGAGCCACCGCGCCCGGCCTGCATTTTTTTTTTCTTTTCTGGCAGAGTCTGGCGGTCGACCGGGCTGGAGTGCAGTGATCTCGGCTCCCTGAGGCCCCGACTGAGGGCTCAGGCGATCCTCCCGCCTCAGCCCCCGGGGCAGCTAGGCCCACAGGAGCCCGCCACCGCGCCCGGCGGCTTCTGTAATTTTTGTAGGGATGAAGTTTCGCCAAGCTGCCCAGGCCGGGCCGAAGTGCTGGACTCAACAGCTCCGCCCGCCTCCGCCTCCCAAAGCGCCGGGACGCCCCCGCCCAGAGTTTTCGACTGTTAGTGTGAATCACGCTCGCGTCAAAACTTCTTTTTATACAAGAACTGAAAGGCAAACTCGGACTCTGCTCCATCACTTCCAGTCCCGGGACTCGGCGCTGGACACTTCCTCCACGCGCCTGACCCTCACTGCGCAGGCCCCGCGGCTGCCAGGGCGTTGCCCGGCAACTCGGCTGCGAGGGGATTGGCCGCGCGGGACCCCGTGACCCCTCAGGGGCTCACGCGTTTCCTGCGTCCCCGGAAGTGACGGTACGCCAAGTCCTGCCCCCGGCAGACCCGGAAGCGGAGTCGCCCTGAGCCGTCTCCCTTAGCCGCCCGCGCCTCAGCCCAGACGCGCGCATCGGCTCATGGCCGCCTACTCCTACCGCCCCGGCCCCGGGGCCGGCCCCGGCCCAGCTGCGGGCGCGGCGCTGCCGGACCAGAGCTTCCTGTGGAACGTCTTCCAGAGGTGCGGCCTGGCACCGCCCCTCCACCTCCCGCCTCCGCCTCTGCCGCGGCCGCCCGGATCCCTGCCCCGACCCCGCGGCCGCCGCCGTCCCCTGCCGGGCCCCTGCGTCCTCCTCCGTCCCTTGCCCCGATTCTCGCGGCCGCCCCCGTTCGCTGCCGGGTCCCCTGCGTCCTCCCCCGTCCCTTGCCCCGACTCCCGCGGCCGCCCCCGTTCGCTGCCGGGTTCCCTGCGTCCTCCTCCGTCCCTTGCCCCGACCCTCGCGTCCGCCCCCGTCCCCTGCCCTGACTTCCGTGGCCAACCCCGTCTCCTGCGGCGACCCTCGTGGCCGCCCCCGCCTCCTGCCCGGTCCCTGGCCCGTGCCTCGGGCCCTTATCGAGGTGCAGAGTCTGCCACTGCAGCCCCGAGGTCGCGGCCCCAGGCTTCTGGGCTAGGCCCGTTTTCTCGCCCCGAGAGCAGCCAGGTCGAGGGTCTCCGGGGGTGCCTGTTTGGGGAAAGCAGAAGCAGACTGCCTGGGCGCTGTTAAAATGCCGGCAGCCGAGGAAGAAGCTGAGATCTGGCGTCTGCTTGGGGCAGGTGACCTTTACGACGGCGACTCTGTCCCTGGTCTCTTTTCCACTGATTGACCGAAACTAGTGACTCATGGCCAGGGAATGGCTCAGTTGTCTGAGAATTTTTTTGTCTATGAAATAGGGAAAGTGGTGGAGGTGTGAATTCAGATATGCCAGGAGAGGAAGGAAGCGAAGGACCGAGGATCTCTTAGGGGAAGACCACGCTTGCGCTTCGGCCCCTGGGGCACTTCCTTTATCCCCGGTTCTCCTCCCGCAGGATGGAAGAGGCGGAGGTTCCAGGACGGAGCCTTCCAGACTCAGTGCAGGGCTGACAGGAGACGTTCGTTTTGCTTTTTCTGCGCTTTGGATCGTCAGCTCATTTGGTCTTTTTGATGTCATAGGGTTGATAAAGACAGAAGTGGAGTGATATCGGACAGCGAGCTTCAGCAAGCACTCTCCAACGGTGAGTGGGCCAGTGGGGCCTGGGCCTGCGGACCTAGAAGCCTCGAGCCTGCTGTGCTCGCTGGAGTTGATTTTCCAAGGACAAAAAAGCCATCAGGGGCCGGGCGCGGTGGCTCACGCCTGTAATCCCAGCACTTTGGGAGGCCGAGTTGGGTGGATCACGAGGTCAAGAGGTCGAGACCATCCTGGTCAACATGGTGAAACCCCGTCTTTACTAACAACAACAACAAAAAAATTAGCTGGAGGTGGTGGCGTGTGCCTGTAATCCCAGCTACTCAGGAGACGGAGGCAGGAGAATTGCCTGAACCCAGGGGGCGGAGGTTGCAGTGAGCCGAGACTGTGCCATTGCACTCCAGCCTGGGTAACAAGAGTGAAACTCCGTCTCAAAAAAAAAAAGAGCCATCAAGACACGTTATTATTACCGCTTCATGGTGGAGATGCTTCTGGTTTATTTTGAGTGCCTCACCGAGCCAGCTAACAGCTGCGTGCGTGAGCACAGGGAAAGGCTTCTTGAGAAATGAAAACTAGGGTGTGGGTTTTAGGAGGGGGGTAGGAAGATTAGCTCTGCAGCAGAAACCCTTTTGGTAAGTTGGAGGTCCTTGAATTTCCTCGGTGACTGCACCTTGGTGACTTCTCTGCATAGACCATCGAGGGCACTAAAGGGTTACCAGGCGGCCTGGGAGGTGATTGTTGGAGGGCTTGAGGAACTCAAGCAGCACTTGTGTGGGAATGTGACTGCTGCAGGAACTGCAGATACCGGGACTGGGTTCCGGGGGAAAGGACTGGGGGTGTTGGAGGTGCAGGCAAGGGATTTATGGGGGAGGTGTTCTTATCAGTGTGGGAATACTGGGCGTTCGGGCAGGGAATCTGGGTCCTTGCGACTGGGGGCTCTCTGGAGTTACCTTCTTGCCAGTTTCGGCTCAGTTGATCCCCTCCCCTGCAGTACCATTAGACACATTTTACTTCGTTGAACACCTGACTGCCCGTTCCCGTATTCCCTCATGCAGTCATCTTTTCCGATCCAGTGTATAGTTTATCTTTTCCAGATCCCGTGCCATTTAAGCTGGAAAGGGGGTCAGTTTTGAGATGTGAAAATGTTGTGAGGCTCCTCTTTATTAGTGGGAAATATCTGACGATTCCAGAGATTGGACTGGGGTGCGGGGAGCATCATGGCTGCTAGACGCTGCCTCACTGTGACTGTGCTGCGGGGGCGGGAGGGGGCTGGATTCAGCCTTACTGCCTACTGATTTGTGAGGATTTGTGTTTTCAGAGTGACATGTTCACCTTGTATTCTGACATGTTCCTAATGTGTGATGTGTGGGCTACGGATGCTGGGGTATTATTTCACATGCATTTACGTAGACTGATGGCAGGGAACTAAGAAATTCTGTTGTCTCTGCACCAGTGATTGTGCTTTCTTGATTTTCCTCTTTTCATTATTCTTAAATCCCCCTTTTTAAATTTGCATCTTTGCCAGTTCATTTATACTCGGGGTAAGTGCAGGACAGGGCCACTAGAAAAAGGCGCCAGGAGAAGCTGGAATCCAGTAGGCTGCAGTTTGGCAGATCATAGCTTAAACCGTCCTAAATGTTGACCACAATAGATGCAAGTGGCTCTGTGTGTCGCATCACATGTTAAATACAGTCAGATGACCACCCAGGTTCACGTGGTTCATCACTGGTGATACAAGCCCCACGGAGTGCCCTCCTCAGCGGCCATGTCTCAGAGATGTTCATTTTGAGAGGTTTTCCAGTGAGTGATGCAAGATTTATGATCCATTTTAGCAGCCTGCTTTTTTTTTGAGACGGAGTTTCGCTCTTGTTACCCAGGCTGGAGTGCTATGGGGCGATCTTGGCTAACCGCAACCTCTGCCTCCTGGGTTCAGGCAATTCTCCTGCCTCAGCCTCCCGAGTAGCTGGGATTACAGGCACGCGCCACCATCCCCAACTAATTTTTTGTATTTTTAGTAGAGATGGGGTTTCACCATATTGACCAGGATGGTCTTGATCCTCTTGACCTCGTGATCCACCGGCCTTGGCCTCCCAAAGTGCTGGGATTACAGGTGTGAGCCACCGCACCTGGCAGCAGCCTGCTTTTTGTCCATTTGCTCAGATTTTTAGAGTACTGACCTCCTTGGGAGGTTTCCTCAGCTTGTGCTGGGGGCATGTGGCCCCATGAAGCCTGTAGTCACTGTGGACCCTGAGAGATGCTGGCTTTGTGGCTCACGCGCCTGCTGTCGCGCAGCCCCAGGAGATGGCCGCCCTGTTTCTCCCTGGAGCTGGAGCTGCGTGAGTTCTCAGCAGCTGTGGTAGCTGTTCTGTTTGCATCTTATAAACCCTGATTACATTTTCCTCTTCAATTTCGCTGCTAAAAAATTTAACGTCAGATATGTGGCTCACCAGTAATGAGAGTTCAGAGTTTTCGAGGTAAACTTGTGACATGGTCTTAACACTTCACGTTCCCCTTAGGGAACGCAATTAAGAGGTGCTTCATTTTGCTGCACTGTGAAAGTCTTTCATGTTTCCTGAATTCCTTCTAAAATGAGGCCAGCTGCTAGTGAGTACAGGTTTCTGGTCCTTCTCACAGCCTCGGGCAGTGGGCTGTGGTGCTGTCCATGCTCCCCTTCGGTGTTGCCTGTGGTAGCTCTCCAGCTGCGGGCTGAGATCTGAAGCCTGATTTAGTTTCTCTCATGTGCTATGGTTTCTCACATGTGAGCATACACCCCGTGGCCCTGTGTTTTCCCACCATACCTCTGCCTGTTGGCATCCTACTGGATGTCTCAGCCCAGACGTTTTGTTCCTCAGATTCCCTTGTCCCCCACCCCTTTGCTTTGAGCTCTTAGCTTCCACTGCCTTTCATCTTTGTAGGATGAAGCCCCACCCGCCCTTCAGGATGCCAGCCTTGGCAACATTGTAAGACCTTGTTTCTACAAAAAGTAAACAATATTAGCCAAGTGTGGTGGTACATGCCTATAGTCCTAGCTACTCAGGTGAAGTGTCTGCACCACAGTGCTTCAGCGCGCTGCGGGCCGTTAGGCTTTCTGCTTTCCTCCCTTGGCTTCTGTGGAGATGCCAGACCCAACGCGCTGTGGGTGGCAGGGAAGGTGAGTGGAGACACCAGGAGTGTCCTTCCCTCAGCGGCCCTTTCTAGGGGAGCAGCTGCTTCTCTCTGATCCTTGATTCATCCAAGGGTAACCTCTGCTCTCCTGGGCCTCAGGCCCTCCTGCAATCCTTAGAATACTCCAGAAGAGCTCATTACGGCTGTCGGGTTCCTCCTGGGCCCCAGCTCTCAGGAATGCCCCGTCTCTGCCGCTCCCTGCCTGCCTGTCCAGATGGCACTGAGGCCCCTGTGCCTGCGCGGTACGTTGTTGAGCATCTCACTTGGGTTTTAACCGTATTGCTTTGGTTTCATACTTGGTTGGCTGTGTTCTTTGCTGAGATGTCCCCGAGAAGCTTCCGCTTATGATCAGGACACCTCACAGTGCAGCCTTCACTTGAGGGCTTAGGTCTTACCCCTTAAGTCCCTCCGTGGTTCCCACTCCGGCTCCACACGGTCAGTCCAGGGCCTGGGACACATGTGGCTTCTTCATTGCAGGAAACAGAGGAGAAGAAACTCATGTCAGGAAGATGGAGGAGAGCCCGGGAGGCTTCCAGTGGCTTTGG